AGGTTAGAAAGAGAAATGCCTCCCTCTCTCTCACCCAAGAGCACCTGTCCCTTACTCAAACTGGATGGACGGTTTCATCTAAGGATCACCTGGAAGCATTGTTCTATGAATGAAGTTTTTCCCTTTAGACAGGGGTGAGGATATTCCTTCTCAAGTAAAGGAATAACAGAGTGCTGGTCCTTATTAATACATTAATGTCTAATCATCTGTGAAGGGATGGAGGATGGAGGGAAAGAGAAGCAAAGAGAACCAAATCTCTCCTCCTTATGCTTCCATTGCCTCTCACTTTTTACTGAGATAATACTACTTATGATCTTCCACCATTCTTGAAATAATTGTATATAAAAGTATATATTGATTTAATTTTGAGGGTCTTATCTAGTTGTTATAGCTTATGCACCAACATATGTTGCAGAGGAAAAAAGGTAAAGAAATGAATGACTATTCATTTGTTCTATAAACACTAGGTAAGACTCTTACAATAAAATCAACTTTATCAACTTCATTTACCTCTTCAAGAACTTGTGAGATATCCTATTTAGTTACAATTTCCTTTGGTCTTCTAATTTCTCTTATAGCTAGAAAGTTAATATTAAGTAGTATGTCCTCTCACTAGTCGGTAGACATGTATCTCATATTGAGAGCACCAGTAATGTTTATAGGCAGTCTAAAAACTGTATAATTCTTAGTATACCTTTTCTACCATATTTGTAGAAGCTGAAGCTGTAGAAAATGTTTGCTTCTGATTATCCCCTCCCCCAATCTGCCCTCCTCTCGTATCATCCCCTTCTCATCTTGTAGAAGATTATAGAAGACTGAGGGATAGTTTGTATTTTTATTTCTTTCATGACTTTCTATTACCAATCAATTAATCACTAAATGTCTATGATGATGTGATGATTTGCCTCAGAGAAATGAGAAACAAAATTTCTTTTTTTACTTCAATTTATTTATTTTTAGTTTTCAACATTCACTTCCTCAAGATTTTGAGTTCCAAATTTTCTCCCCATCTCATCCCTCCCCCCATCCCAAGATGGCATGCATTCTGTCTACCCCTTCCCCTAATCTGCACTTCCTTCTATTTCTCCCCCCCTTCTCTTATCCCCTAACCCTTCTGTTTTCCTGTAGGGCAGGATATATGTCAATATCCCATTTCCTGTATTTCTTATTTCCCAGTTGCATGTGAAAACAATTTTTCTTAACATGTGTTTTTAAAACTTTGGGTTCCAAATTTTCTCCCTTCCTCCCTCCCCACCCACCCTCATTGAGAAGACAAGCAACTTGATACAAGTTATACATGTGTAGTCATGCAAAATACTTCCATAGTAGTCATGTTGTGAAAAAGTAAGCATATTTCCCTTCATCCTATCCTGCCCCCCATTTATTCTATTCTCTCTTTTGACCCTGTCTGTCCTCAAAAATGTTTGCTTCTGATTATCCCCTCCCCCAATCTGCCCTCCTCTCGTATCATCCCCTTCTCCCCTTATTTTCCTGTAGGGTAAGATAGATTTCCATACCCAATTGTGTACATTATTCCCTCCTTAAGCCAAATCCTAGAAGAATAAGATTCACTCATTACCTCTCACCTTCCCCCATTTCTCCTCCACTGTAAAAGCCTTTTCTTGTCTGTTTCATGTGAGATAATTTACCCCATTCTACTTCTCCCTTTCTCCTTCTCCCAATATAATCCTCTCTCACCCCTTAATTTTATTTTCCAGATATCACCCCTTCATCTTCAGCTCACTCTGTGCCCTTTATCTATCTATCTATCTATCTATCTATCTATCTATCTATCTATCTATCTATCTATCTATCTATCTATCCATACATACATACATATAATTTTTCCCTCCTACTACCCTAATACTGACAAAGGACTCATGAGTTACAAATATCATCTTTCCATGCAGGAATGTAAACAGTTCAACCTTAATAAGTCTCTTATGAATTATCTTTCCTGTTTACCTCTTTATGTTTCACTTGAATCTTGTATTTGAAAGTCAAATTTTCTATTCAACTCAGGTCTTTTTGTCACGAATACTTGAAAGTCCCCTATTTCACTGAATGACGATTTTTTTCCCCTGAAGGATTATACTCAGTTTTACTGGGTAGGTGATTCTTGGTTGTAATCCTATCTCCTTTGCCCTCTGGAATATCATATTCCATGCCCTCTGCTCCCTTAATGTAGAAGCTGCTAAATCTTGTGTTATCCTGATTGTGAGAAACAAAATTTCTTTACCAAAAACCTGAGATTTGAAAGGGAAAACAAATCTTAAATGTAAAATCTACTCATAAGACTTTTGCAAGTCACTTCATACTTTCCTCTTTTTTCTCTGTTTTCATCTTAGAAACATACAATACACAGTATAGATACATCATACATATATAGAAATCTATATATATCAAACAAGACATGTACACACATATATACATATGTATACAGGTCGATATATATGTATGTATATGTATATATATATATGTGTGTGTGTGTGTATGTGTGTGTGTATTGTATGTGTGTATGTGGATAGATAGATAGCTAGTGCCTCCTCCCTTACCAAAAGCTCTTGTAATACATTATAAGTAGGACCATAAATTTAGAATGGAAAGACTTAGAATCCAACTATCCCCTTGATTTACAGATGAAGAAATTGAGTCTAAGAAAGCTTAAGTGACTTGTTCAGGATCTAATAAGGAACCCAGGTTTTTCTGTCTCCAAATCAAGCACTTTATCCACTTCACTACATTGTTTCCAGTGGAGAATAACCCATATACTTATGTATTTGTATCCTTTCTAGTGCTTATCACAGTGCCTAGCACACAGTAGGTATTTACTAAATACTTCTTGATTCAACTTTTCATTTTCCTGTTTTTAGCCTCCAATCCCTCCACCCCTCAATACTTTCCTGGGTTATCACCCTTACTCTTGTTTCACTTTTACTCCCTTCTCAATCTTAACCTTATTCTTAACAAGGTTACTGCCTTCCACTGTTGAATTCTATGCTCTCTTGTCATATAGTGGTTGATGACTTGCAAAACTCCAACCTTAGTTTAATTCTATCATTCACACATCTCTTCCTATTTATATTCTGCTGAATTAGAACTGGAAAAAAATAACACAAACATGCTGATTAGGTCCACTACAAATTTATGATATCTAATCTCAACTGGGTCCTCACTGCAGCGGGGTAATCCTTTTATTTCTTCCTAATTGATTCTCTACCCATTCCCATCGTGGCTGTTTAAGATCTTCTCTTTTCTCCTCAAGTCTGTGACACAATTCATTCCTACCATACTTTAAACTAAGGACCTCAGTTTAGACTTTACTGAGGAAAATTAGGGCCAAGCACCATGATTTCCCCTTCTCTCCTTCTCTCCAACTTAAAACTACTTGACATCATCCCCCATTTCTCTTCTTTAGTACACTCTGATGAAGAGGTGGTCTTTCTCCTTTCCAGACCCTCTTTTTGCACCCTTAATCTCACCCCTTCCCTTTTTCTCCAGCAGATTGCTCACACAATCATCTCTACTTTCTGTAATCTTCAGTCTTTCACTATCTACTGTATTACTTTGCTGTAGATTTCAATATATTCTGGTAGGTATGTATGGTAGATAAATCCTACCATTCCTTCAAGTTATCATCCCATATCTCTCCTCCATTAATCAAGCCAAACTCCTAGGGGAAAAAAAAAACAAAACTATACACTCATTGCCTTCACTTCTCCTGTCACTCACTTTTTATCCCTTTGCTTCAGTTTGCTCATCTTTAAGAGGACTGAACTAGATGATGTCTAAGGTCCCATGTACTTTTAAATATATGATCCTGTAACACATACCCAGCCCTAAGTTTTCTCCTGAATTCTAATCCAATATCTAAACTACCTAATGGATATTTTAAACTGGGTGTCTCATAAACATCTCAAATTCAAAATGTCAAAATAGATCTCATATTTCCTTAAATTTTTCTACACCAAATAGGGGAAATATTATCCTTCTAGTCACCTGCATCCATAACTCAGTGTCATTCTTGACTCTTAATTCTCATTCACCTCATATGCAAGCTGTGGCAAAATGCTAATGTTTCTCACTCCATATCATCACTCATATACATACCCTTCTTTCCACTCAGACAGTCACCAACCTACCTTAGGCCCTCATCATCCCTTTCCTAGACTATTGTAATGGCCACTTGCCCTAAGTCTCTCTTCTTTATAACCAATCCTCCATGCAGTTGTCACACTGATTTTCCTGAAGTACAGTTGTGATCACATTATTCTTCGCTAATAAACTCTAGTGGCTACTTCTAGGATCAAATATAAACCCCTCTGTTTGGTACTTAAACCCTTCACAACTTGTCCTCTAACTACCTTCCTACTCTTATTACACTTTAGACACTTCCACTCACTCTACAATCCATCCAATCTTGCCTTCTAATTGTTCAATGCCTTTATACTCACTGCCATCATTCTGAGTTTCCTTCAGGATTTCTGCATAAAACCTTTCCCAATCCCCATCACTATTTTATACATATGTGTGTGTGTGTCTCTGTGTGTGTATACATATATGTATATACACACATAGATATATACATATATGTATATGCACATATATAATATGTATATATCTTACATAGATAGATATGTATGTATATATTGTCTGTCTTAATATCTCCTTAATGGCAAGAGTATTTCACTTCTGTTTTTATCTCCCCAGGGTCTAGCACAATGCCTGGACTATCAAGGTGCTTAATAAATGCTTGTTGTTTGAATGTTTTTAAGCAAAATATAAATATATGTAATTCTATAATGTTTATATTTTAAACTCTGTTTTGCTGAAAAATGTTTTACTCAAAATATACTAATATTAGCATAATGTTGAAATTCATATTTCCAAAATCTAATCTCAAATATCCCACATAAGATGACAAATTCAAACCTAGCATACATTGTAAATTGTGAAAACCCTTGAGAGAAAATAATAATCTATTCCTCTCTCTTATTTAGTGTGCAACAAGGCTTTTCCATTAAGCTGCATTTCAGTAATTTTGATACATATTACTCAGACATATTAAATATTTATGAAGGCTTAGGACCAAACAAAATTTTAAGAGGTAAGTTGGTACTATATCCAAATCTATTATGAAGGTGAATAAAACATTTTAGTATTGCTATATTACTTTTAGCTTTTTTATTAGATTCCATATTTTTGTGGTACTTCTGGTCATTTAAAGGAATAAAATAATTTGTCTATAGTTTAAAATCAAATGAATCAATTTTTATACAGTCACTTTTAATTAAAGAATTGCTATTATTCATAAACTAATATTATTAAATATTTGAAGTTGTGAAGAATTTACAAAATAATTATAATTATTCCTAAGTTTGTTATCAACTTGGTTTCTTTTTAATTTTTTTTACTACCCATGAAATACAGTTTCAATGGGAAGAACTATCTATTTTAGTTGTCAGCAATGGAACAAGCTGTCTTGGAAATTAATGTGCTCTTTACCACTAGTGCTGTTCGAGCAGAGGTTGGATGACTAGCTCTCAGAGGTTCTATCAATGAGATTTCAGCATTGGGTAAGAGATTGGACTAGATAGCTTTCAAGACCCTTCCAATCCTAAGATTCTATGGCTCTGCATTTAAAAAGAAATTGAAACATACCTTAAGAATCACTGAACCTCCAGGTCATGTGATCAGAAGGATGGAGGACTACACACTTTCTCTGATCCTCACACCTTCTCAAACCTCTCCAAAACAGAAATTTTACATATGCCAAAGATAAACTAACTTCAAATGTCTTCATGGTATAAGACACCAGGAACCCAAAAGAAGATTTTTAAAACTCCATGAATTGACATCTAATGAACTCACTCAGCAACCCGTGTCCCAACAACCCACTTCCCACCATGCTATTGGCAACAAGTCTCACTAGCCAAACCAATCCCATGGGTTTGCACAATAAGGCAACTCCACACCATGGTTCCCTTTCCCTCTTTGCAGTGTTATGGAGATCCAAGCTCCAAACTGCACAGATTTGCTAAGGCCTCAATAGCCAATGCCACAGCAATATTCTGTGCTGCAAAAGCCATCTACAGGACAGCACAGGAAAAGAGGGAAAGAAGCAAGACTTGTATCTGGGATTGAAATACAGTTCAACCCAACATTTCAACCCCACAGCCCCAGCCTTGAAGATCCAAACCCCAAATGACAAAAATCAACCCAAGCTATAATAGCACCAGGGTGGCAGTGCTCTGTACTGCTGGTCCAGAGAATGTTGCAGCAGATAAAACAGGACGTGGCACCATTTGTGGGGGGCTGTGGCAATCCACTAAGCCTGAGAGAAAGAGCCCAAAACCTAGTTGGGGCCAGTTTTGTCCACTCAGAGTCCCTTGAGGTAGACATTTAGTCTGGTGAACTGTGAGTTGCCCATTATGGGACGAGACTTTGAGAATCAGTCCTCAAGGAAACCTTTATCATAGAGGAGGGAGTCAGAAAGTGAGTAACAGGAAAAATAAGGGGCAAAAAAGTTTGAAATTACCAATTACTTCTTCAGGAAGAAGAAAGTTCAATGACCTTACCAATCAGGACTGTCATGGACAAGGAATAATGGTGCATACCTGGGACGGGTTAACTTTGAACTGAAACCCAACTATGGGCAGTTTGGGCTTTTTTTTAAGAATATGGCCAGGATCTATTAAGGCCCTAGTGAATCTCTTTGTCAACTGCTTTTAACTGCCTTGGTTGAGGTTTTTCTTCACTTTTTAGTTTCCTGAACTGCTTTTAATTGCACTGAGAAGTACTTTTTTCTGAGGATATTGTAGTGTTTTTTAGTAAAAGCAATGACAACACATAAAAAATCCCGTTTACTTGAACTCTTAGGCTCTGAGTGATCCATTGTACCAGACACAGAATAGTGACCTGTATATCATTATTCCACACTACCTACTAAACACTGTGATTAAACACTGTGAATTATGTGACTCGAACACTGTTAAAGTCTATATCACATTGAAAGCAAGGTAAATTGGAACTGCAGCCTAATGTAGTATAATTATAGAGATAAACTATAATGAAATAAAAACATTGGGAGCACAAGTGCTAAAAGGTTAGCTGTCACTGTGTTGCTTGCTTTCCTTGAGCTAAAAGCAATGCATAAATATATTTTAAAGGAAATTAATGTAATGTGGCTGGACTGACCTATAAGGGCTACTCCTTGCAGCTTGTTCCTAAACCTACTTCAGTCCATGCGTACAAACTTTGTACTGTAAGGATGAAAAGACTGGGGAGATTGCAATGAGAAATCACAGAGTTCCCTAATTAACTACTGAGCCTGAACTCTGAACAAAGGAGTGACCTTCCCCTCGTCTTTCTCTTGCAACCAGGCCACCCACATTACAGGACTATTAATGAATCTGTTATACAGGACTGATCCAAAGGGTCAGGAGTAATAAAGATGATAGAAAGCAATAGGGGAAATGAGGAGTCCTCTAATTAACCATATGATTTTGAAAAAGTCAAAAGAAATGTGAGAAATGTGGGGTTCTTAAGTACAATGATGCTTATAAATCTAGTGCATTATGAATATTATTACTATCGTCCTGTTCCACTACTCCTCCATAAAATTTGTACTCTGATATTTCATGATGATGTGAATTTTCTACTAGCTATGCAACAAACTCCAAGTTCTCATAGATCTTCAGCTGGAATGGCTTGGAGTCCAGGCCCTTCAATGCCTGTTATCTATCAACTGAGTAGCTAAGTTTGGAGAGAGTCCTAATCAGAAGTTTTGCCAACAGGCATTTATTTTTTTCAGCCATAGCAACCCTCTATGTTGATAAAATATTATTGATTAAAACACTATTAATACGGTTTTAGATGGTGTTGATGATGGAGGAGCAGGAAAGGGAGGTAAGGACTAAGAGGAAGAAGAAAGATTTGGAATATATATGTATTTGTATGTGTGTATATATATATATATAGCATATTTCAAGAAAACTGTAGAAGAAAATATGCAATATTTTTATAGCCTCTAAGGACAAAATTACTTGGTCGAACCCAAGGAAACTATTTCTAAAAGAACAGTGTTGGGCCTAAGGCATTGCTGTCAAATTATTGAATTTTTTAATGGTATTCTACCACTTCCTGACAGGTGTCCTCTACTTCTCAGTCATTTAATGTTTACGCCACCTTCTGACTACCCAGAGACCCTCACTGAGATACCCTGGACAAAATTTTAAATTAACTGAAATTCATCTTTAGGATTCACTAATTGCCACTTTCAGTAACCCTATAGAGTTGCCCAAACTTTAGTGCCCCAGACTGAAGGTGGAGGTGGGGGAATAAAGGGGGAAGAAGGTGTCCCAAACAATGACCAAAATTATTGATCTTTTCTAATAGGATACCCATAAGATGCATCCACTTTAAAAAGCAAGAGTGATAAGGTGAATTCACTTTCACTGGTTCTGGGGTTATGGTGGAAGGGAGCAACCCAGTCTCTGGGCATCAGGTATTAATTATTAGGGCCAAGTTTGGATTGCAGGAGATGACCTACAATGTTCTCTAGCCTGCCTCCTCTCCCTCTGAATGGAGACTGAGGTTCAAAGTGCCTGAAGAGACTTCCTGGAAGTCAAGCCTAGGGAGTCTCTGATTAGTGGGCTCCCTGGTACCAGCCTTCTACATGGATTTCCAAAGACCTTTATTCCAAGTCAGAACAATAACCCTCATGCCTTGGTCCCAGGGTTATTATTGAAGGAGGGAGGGAGAGGTCTTCTGACTCCTGCCACTGTCAAATTTCCTCTTTACCTTTGGAAGGCAACTTGGTACAAGGGAAAAAAGTGTTGGACTTAGAATTGGAAGCCCTGTGTTTAAATCCTGGGCAAATCACTTTGCTTCTCTAGGCCATAATTCCCTCAAGTGATTAGACTTGATGACCCTAAAAGTCCTTTAAATCTCTGCAATCTATAATCCTTTGAAATTCAATTAACAGCATTTATTAAGTGCCTACTATGTGACAAGTCCCTGTGCTCAGCGAGTGCAGCATAATGACAACTTGATATTTTATTGCATATTAGAATTTTTATTATAAAATTATAGTAAATTCTTAATATTATTTCAATAACATGAAAACTAAGGAAATTATTTTCATACATTATATGAAAAGAGTGTAGGGAGGATTGTTGTTACATAAAGTTTGGAAACTACTGTCTAAGGAAGGGAAACCTACCTAAACAGACAGGTCTCTTAAGAAGACCAAATTACAAATTTGTTTAGAGAGCAGAGAATTTACGTTCTAATAAGAGGCTTTTTGATAATCAAAAAGTCTCATAGAACTGGAAAGATGATTATCTAATGGTGAAAATATGCACTTTGGTCATCTATCAGGTGAAATATCTGTAATCTGGAGTGTTTACCTGTTGAGCAACTAGGTAGTGAATAGAACACTGGGCCTGAAGTCAAGAAGATTTGGGTTCAAATCAATCCTCAGGTGCTTACTAGCTGTGTGATCCTGGGCAGTCAGTTAACCCTTTTTGCCTCAGTTTCCTCATTTGTAAAATGAGCTAGAGAAGAACATGGTAAACTACTCTAGTATCGTTGCCAAGAAAACCCCATATGGTGTCACAAAGAGTCAGACACGACTGAAACAACAGAACAACAACAATTCAAATTACAGTTTATAGGTATAAAATTTTCTAAGCTGGTTTTACTCTAGTCAACTTTGGCCTTTCCAGATAATTCATTGTTCTAAATACTAAGGCTACAGAAGACAGAAAAGAAAGAGTCCCTGCTCCCAAGAGGCTTGTATCCTACTGAGCCAACAGCAACAACAACAAAACAAATACAAACAAATGAAAAAATAAAAACAGCATTTTTTTTTCTTTTTTGGAAAGAAATATATTTTGAGAAAAACCCATTCTGCCTTTGTTTTCATTTTGGTTTTAATATTATTCTTTCTACCTTATCAAAATGTTTTTTTTTTCTTTTTATGAATGTGGAAGTTTGTTATCAAACACCTTTCTAGGCTAGTGGCAAGACTCCATATAGAATGCTGCATTAGCACATTAGCACTTTCCAAACTCACCATCTATCATCACTGCTTTGTCTTTAACACTATTTTGATCACTAACAAATAATACTTAAAGGGGGAAAACACATCAAGGGACAAATAATGCAAGCTTACAGTTTTGGAAATGTTTGCTTAATGTATACTTAGATGGAAAAAAAGTACTTACATATTTAAGGTAGCTAAAGTTCAAATGTATGCTCAAATTGTTCAGGTTATTTTGTGGTTCTCTGATCTTTATCATGAAAATAATACCATTAAAACACCTATTGCCACTATATTCAATGTTTCAGTTCATATGGGAAAACTGTAAGCTTTTTCTTTTTTAAGACAGTTTTTTGCTTTCTCTTTCAGCTTCCCTCTCAGGACCTAATCCAGGAACAATATACATTTTTGCTAATCAAGCAACTGTAAAGTTTCTTATATATTCTGATGAAAATGATTATATTGGCTTTAATGCAACATATACTGAATTTAACAGCAGTGAACTCAACAGTAAGTATTGCTTTCTCTCTCCCACTTGAAGTTTCAAAGCTGCAAAATCCTTAATTTGGCAATTAAAAAAAATAGCAGAACTGGAGACTTGGAACAGAAAATTATAGCAGGATTTTAATTAATTAGTTTAATTCATTAATGTTGCCAAATAAGCATCTGCTTGGTATAGGTGGGAAAATACATGGAAGTAGACTACAGTGAATACTTACAACATAATTGAATGGAAGATGGAACATAGACTCAAAAAAAAGTAGAAAAATTACAAATATGCACATCAATGTGTAAACCAGTACATTTTAAGTTGAATATATAAATACTAAGAAAGTGGTGTAGAATGGGTGAAAGTAAGGAATTGAGGGTGATGGTGAATTGTCTACCTAGGCAGCAGGAACAGTGATAGTGCCCTTGACAGAAATTATGAAGTAGGTTTTGGAGGAAAGATAATGAGTTCTGACTTGCACATGTTAATTTTGAGATGCCTAAGTTTGAAACAGTAAGAAATACCTAAGAAGGATTTGGTGATGAAAAACTGCAGCTCAGAAATAAGGCTAGGATATTATTAGATCTTAGGTTGTTGGTCTGAGATTTATCTGGGTAGACTTGGTAGTTGATCCCATGGAATGGAATGGAGAGAATCACAGAGCTCACTATTCCCTTTATACAACTTTCTATTTCCCATCTCTGTACGTTTGAGTAGATGGTCTATCACGTCTAAAATATTCTTCCTCCTCCCATCTAGCCTCTAAGAATCCCTATAGCCAAAGTGCTATGATTCAGAATTAAAGGAAATACAATAGAAAAGTACAGAAAAGTCAGTTGAAAAACCTTGAGTGCTAAAGTGTCATTTAGATTTTGAGAATGTGCCCTTGCTCATTACTACAGCATCAAATTTTCTATATTTTTATTATTCATAGATTATGACAAAATTAACTGCAACTTTGAAGATGGATTTTGTTACTGGATCCAAGATATAAAAGATGATGATGAATGGGAAAGAATTCAAGGAAGTTCGTTTCCCCCTGGAACTGGACCAGATTATGATCATACACTGGGCAATTTTTCAGGTATAATTGATCTGTATCCTTAACCATAAGAAAAAGAAAGATCCTTAACCAAAGAAAAACTAAGCAAGTTGCTTTCTCGCTTAAATAGTAAGTATTCAATAAATGTTTGTTGACTGATCAAATTCTTTCCCTATTTCAATCTATCCTGAACACAGTTGCCGAAGTGATTTTCTTAAAACACAAATTTAAAAGCCTTCTTATAAATGATGTTTCAAATGGTGAATTCTAAATTCACAGTAGCGTCTTCAGATTTTCTCCTTCCTAAAACAGTAAAACTAATTTCTGAAAGAGTGTAGGTGTGTGTGTATGTGCTTGTGTAAAGGCAAAAAAATTAATATATGTGCATGGAATGGCATAGCATCTAAAAAAATTAAAGGAAAAGCTAAGAAAAAGGGTGTAGGGAGAAAAAGATAGTAAAACTATAATGACAGGGGGCTTCAATGTATGACTTTGAGACATTTGAGACTTTTTAGACAAATCTAAACAAAAAGTAAACAATGTATATTTTCAGACATAAAAACCTCATAAACAAATACAAAAAGCAGGATATTGCATCACAAGTGAATTCTGTCAAATTTTCAAAGAATAATTAATTCCAATATAACACAAACTTTATACAAAAGTAGGAAAAGAAAGGATCCTACCGGACTCTTTCTGTGAAAAAAAAATTATGGTCTTGATACCTTAATAAAGGAGAGCCAAAACAGAAAGAAAAATATAAACCAATATACCTAATGAGCATTGATATAAAAAAGTAAAATATTGACAAGAAAACTGTAGCAACATATAATAAAGTTTGTACATATGACCAGGTTGGATTCATAACAGGAATGCAGCATTGGTTTCATATTAAGAAAGCCATAAGCATAAATAATCATATTAGTAATAAAAATCACAAGATTATATCAATGGGCATGGAAAAAATGGTTTTTTTTACAAAATACATCAATTTCTGTTAAAGCATTAGAAAATATAGGAATAAAAGGATCCTTCTTTAATATAATAAATATTATATATCTAAAACCAAGAGCTGATATTATATGAGGGATAAACTAGAAGCCTTTCCAGTAATGTCAAGGTAAAACAATAGCATTCAGTGTCACTACTACCATTTGAAATAATGCTGGAAATGCTACCTATAGTAATAAAATACTTTTTTAAAGAAAGAAATTAAGGTAGTAAGCATAGGCAAAAAAACCCCACAAAATTATCACTTTTGTAGACATGATGGTATATTTAGAAAACACCTGTTAACAAACTTTAAAAACTTTAAAGTTAAAATCAATAACTTAGGTAGTGTTGAAGAATATGAAATAAATCCATAAGAATAAATCTACACAAATCGTCAGTATTTCTATACATTAGAAACCAACCCCAGAAGAAAGATAAAGAGAAATTCCATTTAAAATAACTATAGAATGTATAAAGTACTTGGTAGACACCTGACAAAATACACACAGGAACTATATAAATACTGCTTCAAAACTCTCTCTATACAAATAAAGACAGATCTAAATAATTGGAGAAATATTAATTGCTCATGGGTAGGCTGAGACAATACAATGAAAATGACAAAATCTCCTACTGGTTAAAAAATAGAGAGGTCAATTAGTGGAATAGTTTAGGTACACAATATAATGAAACAAACAAACCTAGTAGCCTAGTATAACCTGGTAGCCAGTAAGCATTTCGCTTACTAAGGACTCACTATTTGACAAAAACTTCAGAGAAAACTTTGATAGCAGTAAGCCAGAAATTATTTTTAGACCAATACTTCTAAATGGATACATTACCTAAACATAAAAGATCACATAGTCAAATTAGAGAAACAACAAAGAAATTACCTTTCACATCCACATATTAGGGACAAGTTCATGGCCAAAAAAGGGATCAAGAGGATGACACAAGGTAAAATGCACAATTTTGATAACAAAAAATTTAAAAGTTTTTATACAAACAAATCCAGTGAACTTAAGCTTAGAAAAGATACAATTAACTGTGGACAAAAATCTTTGCAATGAGTTTCTCTGGTAAAGGTCTCATTTTGAAGATATTTAAGGAACTAATTAAAATTTATAAGAATAAGATCCATTCTGCAATTGATAAATGGTCAAAGATTATGAACAAACAGTTCACAAGGGAAGAAATACAAGCTTTTTAATAGCCAAATGAAAAAATACTCTAAATCATTAATACTTAGAGAAATGCAAATTAAAACAACTTTGAGATCCTGCCTCTTATCTATCAAATTGAGAAAGTTGATAAAAACAATTAAGAAGCGGTGGAGGGGCCTAGAGAAAATACCCCCATTGATGCACTTCGGGTGGAGCTATGAACTGATAGAGTCATTCTGGAGCAATTTGAGACTATGTTCAAAAAGTTATTAAACTGTGTATAACCTTTGACCCAACAAGACCACTCCTTAGCCCCCAGTATGAGGGCAATAGTATTTCATTACATACATAGACTACAGTTTATTTAGCCATTAGGACCAACTTTGTTTCCAGTTCTTTGTCACCACAGAGATGCTACAAATATTTTTGTACATATAGGATCTTTTCTTTTTTCTTTGATCTCCTTGGGGGCCAATTAAAAATCAAGAGGATGATATAAGGTAAATTTTTTTACTGTTATAGAATTTAAGAACCTTTGGTTAACTGGAAAATGACTCAACAAATCAGGGTACATGAATATAATGGAATATTTATTTGCTATTAGAAACAATAAATGTGAGAGAAGCATGGTAAGATTTATATGAACTGATACAAAGTGAAGTATACAGAAGAAGGAAAATATACACAATGACTGCAACAGTATAAATGGAAAAGACATCAACAAACCAATTGAATTAATGCTTCAAAATTATAGTGGTGAAGTTTGGCATTTAGAGTTCTTGAAGGCACCTCCTCTTATTTCACAGAGGAGGGGCCCTATGGATATGTTCTCTTCCTACTCAAATTATATTACATTTATTTATTTGTGTATGTTGTATCACTTCAGTAGACTGGAAGCTTCTTGATGACAGGGGCTGTTTAAGGACTTTTTCTTTTCTTTTTTCTTTTTTCTTGTTTTGCTATCTCTAGTACCTAAAACTCCAATGATCTGTGATCTCATGTATGTGAGTATTCCCTCCAGTTATGCAAATCACAACCTATCCATGCCTGTCCATTCTGTTCAATATCTCATCCATGTCCTCCCTTAAGCTCACCAAAGAGAATCCCAGTGTGCTGAAGACCTTCATTTTCTCCTGACATCATAAAAATGTTAATGGTTTCCATTACTTTTGCACTCTTGATACCAGTTTTACAGGCCCAACCTACACTCTTATATTCTACTTTGTACTATTCACTACTTACTTGGCGTTCTAAATGAAAAACAGGAGTCTAGAAATCAAATCAACCTTTTTTTTTTCAAACAGGATTTTATATTTCTACCCCAACGGGGCCAGGAGCGAGAAGAGGAAGAGTTCGGCTTTCAAGTCTCTCTTTAGTTCCCTCTTCAGATCCAGTTTGCCTTAGCTTCTGGTAAGTCAAACAATGTTATTTAAAATGTGAATATTAAATTCAGATTGTAGCAAATAAAAAAGCCTTCTGCATTTTCTGATTCAGAGGTTTCACTAAGAATATTTTCCAAATTGTAACTCCTAAACCCATTGTAGTGGTTGTGGTTCAGTTGTTTCAGTCATGTCTGACTCTTCTAGACCCCATTTGGTGTTTTCTTGGCAGAGATACTGGAGTAGTTTGCCATTTCCTTCTCCAGGTCATTTTATAGATGAGGAACTGAAGCAAACAGAGTTAAGTGACTTGCCAAAAGTCACACAGCTAGGGTCTGAGGCCAAATTGAACTCAGGTCTTCCTGACTCCAGGCCCTGTGCTCTATGTACTGTGCCATCTAGCTGCCCTACTCAAACCCACAGTATATATTTGTTGATTAAGCAACAGTTAAGTGTATGAACAGTAAAACAAGCTCTCCAGGACAAACAATGATCCTAAGACTCATAGTAACATGTTCAGTAAGAGCTAAGGAATTGTTTCTATTTGCTATATTAAGTTTTTGCTCCTCAGTGCTAAGACAAACACTTTATGTGATAAAGAAAAAATATGAAATGTTTAAATAACTACCTTCACTTTAAAAAAAAAGGTTTTTTTGAAGGTTACGTAAAGTCAATGGGAAAGAAATATGAGGAAATATAATAATAATATAAGGAAATATAATAATAATACCAAAATAGTTTTACATATGTGGTCTAAGCCATCAAAAAAGTAATTTATAAAAAGAAAGGTACCCTGAAAAAATTAATGAGCAGATAATTTACTTATCACTAGGAAATATGGCTCATTTTATCATTCACACATGTAACAGTGTTTGGAGAAACTGATGTTTAGTTACTTAGCAGGACCTGCCTACTCTGTTTCTGAAACCTTAAGCAGAAATACTGGAGATTTGTAAACTTATCTTACCTTCGAAGATATGTTCTCTTATAATGTTATGATTTGGGGTTTTGTTTAGCATTAATGCAATGGATTACCACAGGAACATTCTTACCCCAGAATTTTGTGACCGTTGTCTAACTTTATCCAAACTCCCTTTTACCATCCCCTCCTACTTTCCTTTTGGATAAGATAGATTCCTATACCCAATTGAATGTGTGTGTATGTATGTATATACATGTATATATGTGTGTATATTTTCCCTCTTTGAACCAATTTAATTAAGAGAGAGGCTCAAGCATTGCCCACCTACCCCCATTTCCCATTCACTGTGAAAGCTCTTCTTTGCCCATATCTTTTATATGAGATAATTCTCTCCATTCTTCCTCTCCCTTCTCCCAAGGTATCCCTCTTTCTTGGCCATCCATTTTTATACCATCCCAACATAATCAATTCACTGCCAATCAATTCACTCTCTGTCTATATAGAATCCTTCTAACTGTCCTAATAATAATAAAGTTGTTAGGAGTTACAATGATCATCTTCCCTTATAGAAATGTAAACAGTTTAAATTTATTGAATCCTTTGTGATTTCTCTTTCCTGTTTACCTTTTCATGCTTCTCTTGAGTCTTGTGTTTTAATCAGATTTTCTTTTCAGCTTTGATATTTTCATCAGAAATTATTGAAAGTCCTCTATTTTATTAAATATCCATCTTTCCCTTGAAGGATTACACTCAGTTTTGCTGGGTAGATGATTCTTGGTTGTAATCTTAGCTCCTTTGCCTTCTGGAATATCATATTTGAAGCCCTCTGCTCCCTTAACTGATAGCTGCCAAATCTCATGTGATCCTGACTGTGGTTCCATGATATTTGAATTTAAAGTTGTTTGGAGGGGAATTTGGGAGAGCTCAGATGAGTCTCTGCCTTTTCTCTGCCATCTTGGCTCCATTTCCACTTTATTAATGTTAACAAAACTTTCATTTTTCTAACTTAGGTATCATATGTATGGTGAAAATGTCTACCGTTTAAACATTAATATCAGCAGCAAATATGATGTGGAAAAGACAATTTTTCATAAAGAAGGAAATTATGGCAACACTTGGAACTATGGACAAGTAACAGTAAATGAGAAAGTTGAATTTGAGGTTAGTGAAGATGCTGTCTACATTTTCAGTTACTGGAGAGCCTTGCTATGACTTCTATTACTTTTTATTTTCTTTAGCCAAGTTACTCTGCCATCCTACATATTCTATATATTTATATCCTATAAATTTGTTCCAAAATTTCAGATCTAAGGCAACCATTGGCTAAATTCTGCTTCTAAGGTGGGACTGTGTGAGAGAGGAATTTTTTTTTTGGTAACATACCCTTTATTACCTATATGCCTTCTGTGGACATGTGCTTTTCTTACGCTTCTTATGCAAGAAGCTCCTGACTTAGAAACTTTATGCTGGCAATAGTTTTTTCTTCACAGTATCTATCCAGCAACTCAAACTCAGTCAAGTCCTTCATGGAATCAATCAGTCATTGTTTATTAAATGCTTACTACGTGCCAGGCACCGTGCTAAGCCCCGGAGAAATAAAAATAGAAGACCCTCAAGGAGTTAACAGTCTGATGAGGGAGACAACATGCAAACCAATATATACAAAGTAAACCCTGTACAGGATAAATTGCAAAAAATTAACAGAGGGAAGGCACTAGAATTAAGAGGGCTTGGGGCATGCTTCCATTAAAAGATGGAGTTTTGGTTGTGACTTAAAGGAAGCCAGGGAAGTCAGGAGGCAGAGATGAGGAGGGAGAGCATTCTAGACATAGAGAACAGCCAGAGTAGATGCCCAGAGTTGAGAGATGGAGCGCATTGGTCCTGGAATAGCTAGGAGACCAGTGTCACTGAATCAAGAAGTATGTATTAAGGAGTAAGTTATAAGACTGAAAAAGTAGGGGTGGAGTAGGTTAGGAAGGGCTTTGAATCTTAAATAGAACATTTTGTATTTGATCGTGGAGGCAATAGGGATATGCCAGAGTTTAAGTACAGGGGTTATATGATCAGACATGTGCTTTAGGAAAGCCATTTTAGTGGCTTAGTAAAGGATGGATTGGGATGAGGAGAGACTTGAGGCAGGCAGACCCACTAGAAGGCTATTACAACAGTCCAGGTGTGAGATGATAAGATCCTACGCTAGCGTGGTAGCAGTGTCAGAGGAGAGAAAAGCTATATTCAAGAGATGCTGCAAAGGTGGAATCCACAGGCCTTAACAATAGATTTGATAAGGGAGATGAGAGGCAGTGAAGAATCCAGGATGACTCCTAGTTATGAGCCTGAGGGATGGGAGGACTATGTTGCCTTCTACAGTAATAGGAAAGATGGGAGACTGGGGGAGGGTGAAGAGAGAAAAATATAAGTTCCATTTTGAACATATTGAGTTTAAAATTTACTGAATATCCAGTTTGAGATGTCTGAAAGGGAATTGGAGATGTGAAACTGAAATTTAGCAGAGAAGTTGGAGCAGGATAGGTAGATTTTAAAACCATCAACGCAGATGTGGTAAAAAAAAAAATTCATGGAAGCTGAAGAAATCACCAGTTGAAATAGCATATATAGAAGGAGAAAAGAAGAGGGCCCAAAACAGAATCCTGAGGGACTCTTTTAGTTGGAGAGCATGATCTGGATGAGGATCCAGCAAAGGAGATGGGGAAGAAGATGTCAAATAGGTGGGAGGAGAACCAGGAGAGAATAGTGTCCTGAAAAACTACAGAGAAGAGAATATCAAGGAGAGAGTGACTATCATTGTCAAAAAGCTGCAGAGAGGTCAATAGTAATGTAGATGAAGTCTTGGAGATAGAGAGGATGAAGATAGGTCATTGGGTTTGGCAGCTAAGAGATCGTTGGTAACTTTGGAGAGAGCAGTTTTCAGTGAAATGATGAACACAGAGCCCAGATTGTAAGGGGTTAAGGAGAGAGAGAGACAGAGAGACAGAGAGAGAGAAAGTGACAGCATGTATTGTAAATGGCGATGGAAAAATAGGCAATGATCTTCTTTCTCTAAGATCATGATGGTGAGGAAATTCCTCTTCACTTGAAAGAAACCAAATCATAATTTGAAATTATTTGGGTCATTTTAAATAATTAGCTAGATATTTGGTTCCATAAAAGTTCAAAGTTCTGTACAAAGAAATACAATGTATATTTTAAATGTTAATGGTGTTAATATTTTTGTTGTTATGTCAAACTTGAAAAACATCAACAAACATGAGCATATTCATTTATAGGGAATAGAAAAAGGGGATCATATATGGAACTGTGAATCTCTATTACATGTAGCTTATTCTTTTTAAAAGTATATAATACATTTAACATGTTTGTTCCAAAGTTGTCCTGTTTCTGTGTTTCCCTCTGGACCTCCTGTTTTATTCTGTGCTTCTTTGAAATGCTTCACTGATGTCATTCTTTTTTTCCTGTCCCCTTATTATCATCCTCTTCTTCCCTTGATTCTCCTTCTCAGAAGACTAACAATGAATTCCATGTATAGGCTTTATTGAAATGAAAATTCATTGCTATACGTTCTGAATCCTCTCTTACATTCTGCTGTGCACTGGACATGCTTTTTTTTCTTTTCTTATTTTGTATTTGTTTCAATATTTAAGTTAATGATATGTTTCTTTTTCTTTTCTTATTGTGTATTTAAGTGTCAGTAATAAAAAAGACAAAAAAGACTAACAAAACAAAAAAGTCTCCTTAAATCAATAAGCCTAGTCAAACAAAATAAATGAATACATTGCACATATCCAAAAATGTGTGTCTTGTTTTTCACCTTTAATCCATCACCAGTCTGACAAGAAGTAAGAAACATATTTCATCTTTTGTCCTTTAGAATCATGATTAGTCATTACATTAAAGAGTTACAAAGTCTTTCAAAGTTTTTTTAAATGTATATTATTATTGTCATGATATAAATTACTCTCCTCTTCCACTTCCATTTTGTGTCAATTCAACCTCCCAAATCCTGTCACGTGTTTTTCTGAATCTGTCCCTTTCATCATCTGTCCCTGTCCCAATCATTGCACCCATTATGGTGCAATCATTTTCCATTACATACATATATCATACTTTGTCCACCCATTCCTCAAATAATGAGCACAACTTAGTTTCCAATTCTTTGTTACAACAAAAAGTATACTGTGAATATGTGAATCCTTTCTCCTCTTTCATTTAACTTTTCAGGGCATAAGAATGTAATAGAATTTAAATTTTAAAGTAAGTCTAGAGAAAAAACACTTATGAAAAATATCAGTTGTAAACTTAATAACTAAATCTTATAAAGCATGAAAAAATATATTCTGCATAAAACCCAATCTCTAATGGAAAAGTGATCAAAGAATATTTTTATCCCTCTCAGGAAAGAAAGGAAAGGCAGTAGCTATTGCCAATAACCCTAATAAGGACTCCAGATTCCCTCTCTCATAAGCTTGTAGCAAGCCTACAAAAGCAGAGAGTGATTAGACTTCTGGATCATTATTTGTAAATTGTCCCTCATACCACAGATCTGGCAAACCTATCATGAGTAAGAGCAAGAAAGCCTGTTGACCAGATGAGAATTGGGTGTGGCAGACCTGTGTAACTCCCAGGCCATTGATTACCTGAATATCTGTCTCTGTGTATATGTTGTGTTCCCCTATTCTGTGTGTATTCTTGGAAAGAATCTTGCTATGCTAACTGAAAAGCTCTGAAAAGAACATCATGAACCAAAGTGTTCAATTACATAATGCCTTGTCACAAGGTCATCTGCATGCCTGATGATACATATTGGATCCTTATTGATTTTTAGCTAAGTTGATAGATAAATATGTGTTAATGTTCTAATGAGAGAGATTACACCCACCCAGATTACATGTGCGTTTTTAGCAGTGTAGTTACACCTTCTCAGAGATAGCATTCTTGCCTTTTCTCTCTAATATTGGGATTTTCAGACCAAGTTGCAGGAGTGAGTGGCACTATAGCAGGTAAGTAGGGTAACTTGGTCAGGCAGGTGGAGTCTTATAATAACCTCTAATAACCTCACCTACTCTACGGCTAGTTGACTATTCAATCTGTGAATAAAGTCATTCCTGCCTGTCCCTAGCATTGTAACTTATGGAATAGTTCTAGGGCAGATGGAGCTATTTGTTATAAAAATCTATAAATATCTTCTCTACCTTCGGACTTATTACCTAGGTTCTTTTTGATGCTTATAAAAGTGGATACCTGAGTGACATAGCATTGGATGACATTGGCCTAGCAAGTGGAATTTGCAATCAGAGTCTATATCCAGAACCAACCCTGGTACCAACTCCACCACCAGAGCTTCCTAGTAAGTATCCCAGCTGAATATACTTTTTCCCATGTTTCCATTGTTGACATTTTTATGTTAGATTCTGAGTTTGAGTTATATATTTTCCATTTTAAACTAGCTAATCATTTATAGAAATAAAAGGGGATTTTAATATGTAGACACAATTGAGGATAGCTTAAGATGACCTACAACTCATGCCTCTTTTAATGAAGCTAAAATCAAGTTAATTTATTTGCTTGCCATTTTTCAAGAAGCGTAAGGTAATATATGAGGTTCTGGGCTTGGAGTCAAGATTGAAATTCCATCTCTGACATGACCCTGAGCAAGTCACATAATTTTTCAGGCTGCTAGTTCCCTGTCTTAGATGGTGATTTGCATTAATGGAAAGAATCTCTACATTCTTGAAATTATAGAAGCTTTATTTCTGAATCACATTATTAAACTTGCAGGTCCCCTGAAGCCCTCAGATCTTTTTCAGGTTAATTTCTGTGTAGCCATACCTTCTTCATCTTGTACTTGTGAAGTTTATTTTTTAAAACTAAGTGTAAAATTTTATATTTATCCCTGTTAATTTTCACCTTAGTAAAGAAAAATCAAGCAATCTCTTCCATCCCTGCCAAATCTCAAGCTATTAATGTCTCATGCCTTTAATTACCTGATATACTCTAGAAAAAATTTAAGCTAGCTCCTTCTGTGAGTATTTAAAAAGGATTTCTTTTTGTTAAAGCTGAACTGTTTTAAAGCTTTCTCATCTCAAAAAAAGACTATTACATTTATCAAGATGGTACAGTAAATGCAGTGATATGCATACATATCAGAATATGCACAGTCAGGTAGACTTAATACAAGCAGTATGCTGGAAGCAAAATTTCCATAACTTCTTGGCAAAAGATTATCTACATTATCTTGTGCCTATCAGCAGAGTAAGCAATTAATTATAGCATAAGTGTTAAACAAAATAGCTCCAGGGAAAAGTCAAATGTAGGCATTAAGCATTAGTAAACTCCAACAACTCCCTAAACCTGTCAAGTACCTTAATTTCACTCTTCCCCCAGCTACCAGAAGCATATCTAAAAATAGTGGATAACTAAAATATCCCAAATGATATTTCATGAGCCTTGGTTTGCTCTATTAAGGAACACATGTAAGTTTTTCTCTGTGGCTAGACCACCATTAAAGTAAATGATATCATAATAATTAAAATTGTAGATAAGTGATTTTGCTAGATTTTTCCAGTGATTTATTTCTGGAAAACCACCTACAACTTGTTAAACCAATGATAAGATAACACGAATTCACGATTCATTCTCAAAAAATACTTATTAAGATTTTTAAAAGCCAGTGACCTACTTGAAGCTATTATATTTATCAGAAAAGTATCCAGAGAACCGGCTGCTTTGATAAGCTCATTAATACTATATTATCTCACATTGAATTGTGAGTATCTCAAGCTACTTAACTCTACATATGTGATAAATATATATTTGAAATATTTAACTCCTAGCAGCTCTTCAGACTTCTAGCTAAAAAACAGAAGACATATTCTTCATTTGCTGCATGTTCTCAGATAATGATAAAAGCATGGTTGTATATTGCATCAGGTGGGTTTTTTAATGACAATAGCTCTTAAGAATCACATTTATGTATAAGATGGACATTTGCATTTTGCGTTTGGCAATAGCATAGTATGTATTTGTTCTACCTGCCCTCAAGGACTTTACATTTTTATTAGAAGGCATAACAGGTATACATACATATTTAGTCCCTTATTTGCAGAGGGACTGATTGCCAAATGTAGATTTTTTTTCCAGATGAAAGGCTCATGGGAGGCAAGAACCTCTTAAGTTTCAGGAAGCCTCAAGAACTTTTGAGTTTCACACAGTATAGAGGAACCTAGGGGGCTGCCACAATTGCTACTGAAGCAATGACCTGCTCAGACAGAATTTCTCATTTTCTTGAATATAACTGCCTTGCTGCTCTGTAGGACCTGGTAAATTTATCCATTCTCCATTTCCTCTCCCCTCCTCCCTCCTCATCTCTGCCTCAGGAGTTATCTGTTCTCTTTAAATCTCGTTTAGGTATTGTCTATACTTTTATAATGGGTTTTTGTCTCCAAATAAAGATTAGCTAAATTTTATTGCATTCCCAATGAATGTTCCATCTAAAGGAGTAAACAGTGCAGCAGGCAGGAAGGACAGAAGGAAATCTATGAGAATGATTGCCCTCCACTTTAAAGAGAGAAATATGCGAAGAGTATTTCTAAGTGAATGTACTTCTTGTAAGGACTTATTCAGAACTAAGTAGACTTGGAAAGCACACAGCTCAAAGGAATATTAGCTTTGGTTAGTATCAATAGTAATAAACATTTATTAAGCACCTTCTGTGTGTGGCACTGTGCTAAACATGGAGATACAAATAAGAAAAAGACAAGCCTGCTGCCCTCATGAAGCTTACAATCTAATGGGGGAAAAGAATATACAAAAAGAAGCTGAAAAAGGGATAGAGACCCACCAGACGATGCTCTGCATAGGAGCATGATGTCCATAAAGTCAAAATCAAGCAGAGCAACTGATGAGAAATGAAGCCAGCTGGAAAATTCTAAGCTTTCTCTAAAGGGAGGTTTTGGAAGAGTTTATTACTTCAGCCTGTAACCTTCTGGTAAGAAGGGAGAGGCAGCTGAGGGTGCTGAGGAAGTGTTGAGAAGTCTAGAACAACTCTTTACCACACTCAAGGGATCCACAACCTGAATATTTCATTCACATCCCGATGAACATGCTAAGGACACTGAGATCAGAACAAAACTTCAGTGAAGCCAGCATGTGGCTTTCTTTGTATGTGTGTACAGTTCCACCAGGAATCTGCTGAAGGAGACAGGATGGAATGGGATCACTTGTGCATGTAGGGGAATTATCCTTATCCGGGAGAATGGCCACCTCTTTGTGAGACGGGAATGAAAGAGGAGGAAAAGGAAGCCATGGGAGACTTCAGGAGGGATCTAAAATGTGTGGAAGGGCTATTGTAACAAATGGGAAAGTGAGTTGATTAGGGAGATGTAATAAGATTGCCTTGTTGCAATCAAAGCATAGTGGAAATTATATAATATAAATTAGTAGTAGACCTAAATATCAATTTCATGATTTAAAGATAATAGCAGACTAGGAAGCTGTGACTTGATTTCATTTTCATATTCTCATTATTAAAAGGACAAATTTTTAAAATGTCAGAAGGGTAATTGAAATAGATTTAATAAAGTTTATAATTGTGTCTAATGCATTTGTAGTACTCACCCAGAAGAGCTATGTTCAATTTTCTTAGTCAGACAAAGATGATCTGGGTTTCAGCCTAGGATCATGAAGAATACTGGAACTGGGGCTAGATTTAGACAGACTTAGGAAGTAGGTGAAGTTTGTCTTTGAAAATCCCTTCCCTCAGGGTATCCTATGATTTATAGGAAAGTTAGCTGACAAAATTCATTCACAATAAAATTATAATTTTAAGATGCTACATCTTTCAGGATCATTTTTATTTTTAAAGAATCCCAACAGGAGAGAGTGAAGTTCAGCATTAACAAATTAATCACTAATAAGGATAATCTCAGGTACCAAGAATAAATAAAATTGGGTTGATGGTTATGGTTTGAGAAGAGATAAGGGTACTTTATAGCATTTCTCAAACTGAGCTGCAAAAACCACTAGCCATGTTTTCTGCAGGTAAGTTTGGCCTTAGTTGGAAAGAGCGTTGTTAAAAGTGTCTTTGAACACTATTTATTGAAGAAACTATTTAACCCCCAAGTGTTATTTCATTATTAAAAATAAAACACTCTGAACTTGTTTTACCTAACAAATTAGTTTCATTATTTATCCATTTTAAAAAAACCAGATGTAGATACTTCAGAATCTCTTTTGACTTACATTCTTGTGTCTCTTTATTGTTAATAAAGTTTGACAGTGCCTTAAAGATCATCTACTCTCTCTATCATCAACCACCAGCAATTTACTAATATATCTTCAATGTTTGCTCTTTTAGCTGACTGTGGAGGACCTGTGGAACTTTGGGAACCAAATACAACATTTTCTTCTATGAATTATCCAAATAACTATCCCAATCAAGCTTTCTGTGAGTCATAATTTCTTATTAGCATCAGAGAATTGGATATTTTTACAGTTATTTCAAATTTAAAAATCAGTTATAGACTTAGCAGATATAGGTATATTATCAAAGGATAACATAATAACTAAAAATGATAAAATGTAACCACACATATTTGTTCAAGGAGAAGCAACCATAGCACCATAAGAAACATTACCAACAACCTTAGAGAGATGACAGATATGCCAAATCTATTAAATAAATGAAATAGACCAAGGTTTATTGTGAGAAAGCCAAGGGCAATGAATATTGTTTGCTATGAAAAATGGCTCGGTGAAGTGGATCAGAAGATGATCTCTATGTAAAACATGTAATTGATTATTCGTTCAACAAATATTTATTGAGTATTTATTATACACAAGGTATTATGTGGCTATTTTCAGAAGAAGAAAATCATACTTTGAAACTAAGGTTCTCAGATTTAAAACAAAAGGCAAAAGGTCTTGGAGTCTTTTGGAAGGAAGAAAAGAAAGAATGAAGGAAGGAAGGAAAGAGAGAGAGAAAAAACAAAGAAAGGAAGAAAGAAAAAAAAGAAAGAAAGAAGAAAAGAAGAGAGAAGGGAAGGAAGAAAGAAAGATAATGGCCAAAGGAAAGTAGAATAGACAAAGTTTGACATAGAAATACATTCAATTCAATTCAGAAAAAAGAGAGAAGTAGGAGAACAGGGAGTAGAAAATGAGAGGGAGAATAGATTCAGGGGTGAATAATAAGCAAAACAAACTCCAGCTACAGAGGTTGGATCATGAAAAGATGAGGGCAAGTTGGAGTTTAAAAGGAAAGAAAGAAATTGTAATAACCTGTGATTAGAGTCTGAGACAAGGAGAGAGAAGAGGGGCAGGGGAGAGAAAACAGATGGCATTAAGCATAGGTCATAAATGCTGAGCATTCTCTTTTCTCTCATTGTTCTCTTCTTTGTAAAGAGGATAGCAAATGGTAAAGAGATGGAAAAAAATAACAATAGGATAGATGAATAAACATAATAGTCATAACAATGAATGGAATGAACTCACTTATAAAATGCAAGAAGGCAGCAGATTGAATTAGAAAGTAGAAACAGGCAATATGTTGGTGTAGAAATACATTCAACTCAACCTGCTAAAAACATAAAAATTCATATATAATTAAAATAACAGACTGTAACAAAATTTACTTTAATTCCACTGAACTAAAAAAATCAAGGATAACAATCAGGACCTCAGACAAGTCAAGAGCAAAATAAACATGATAGAAAGAGGAAAATAAGGAAAATAAATTATCCTTAAAGGCACTATATATGTATCAGTACCTATATACACATGATAGCATAGGATCTAAATACTTAGAGGAAAAGTTAAATGAATTATAGATAGAAACAGACCATTAAACTCTTATATGAGGGACCTAATTTATACCCCATTTCAGACCTAGAAAGATCTAACAAAAATAAAAAAGAAAGAAGTTAAGGACCTGATTTGAATTTTAGAAAGTTTAGATATGATAGAGCTCTAATGACTGCTGAAAGGGAATAGAAAGGAGCATACATTTATCTCAGCTCTACATAGTGCCTTTTTAAAAACGGAAAATATATTGGAGCATACAAACTTTACAAAAATGTGGGGGGAAATGTTAAATATATTCTTTATTGACCATACAAGAATAAAAATTATATTCAATTAAGGTCATTTGAAGAAAAGATTTAGATTATGAAGATTAAATTATAAAATTTCTAAATTCCAAATAATTAGTGAATAAAAGAACAAATCATAAATACAAGAAACAATTTAATCAAAGTAAATTACAATAATGACGCAACGTGCCAAAATTTTTATGATAAAGCCAAAACAGTCCTGATGATAACATGTATTTTTTTTTTAAACTTTCATAAACAAAAGAAGCAAAAAATCAGATCAATTAATTGGACATTGAACTAAAAAAACCCTAGAAAACAAATTAAAAAGCTCCAACTAAATATCAAAATAGAAATTATGAAAATCAACAAAGAGATGAACAAAATTAAAAAGTAAAAGAGGCAACTTAATTAATTAAAGCTAGGGTCAGTTAAAAAATAAAACAGACCATTAATTTATTTTTAAAGAAAAAAGTAAATTACCAGTATGGAAAATGACAAAGGAGAATTGATAACAAATGAATAATAATATAGAAAATTAATAGGAACCATTTTGTCCACCCATATGCCAAAAAAAATGGACAACTTTAATGAAATGGATGATTTAAAAAAATTTTTAAATTGAGATTAAAATAAAAAGAAACATAGAATTTATATAATCAGAATAAGAAATCAAATAAGCCATATATTAATTCCCAAAAGAACAATACCCCAAAACCTATGGATTTACAAGCAAATTCTATCAAAAATTTGAAGAACAACTAATTCAAATATTACATGAAATGTCTGGAAAAACAGGAACAGAGGAGATTCTATCAAATTCCTTGTATGGTACAAATGTAACATTTATAAGTAAACCATACAGAGATGGAACAAACTATAAATCAATATCCCTAATTGTATGTAAATACAAAAACATTGAATAAAATATTACTAAACAGGCTACAACATATATTTTAAAATAAGTATACACCAGGTTTATGAGTATAACCAAGTTGGATTTATACCAAATATTCAGGATTGTTTCAATACTAGAAAAACTATAAATAAAATAGACTGTGTTAATAATAAGAAAAATAAACATTATTTATGATCAAATCAAGATGCAGAAAAGCTTTTGACAAAATTTTACACCCACTTCTGTTTAGCAAAAGAAAACAAAAAAGCACTAGAAAGCATAGAAACAAATGAATCTTTCGTTAACATGATAATAGTATTTATTTAAAACCAAGGGCCAGAATTTTATCATGGAGATAAGATATATATTTTCAGACATAGCTAGTGTAGTAATTTGGTTTGTTTGACTATTCATGTTTGTTATAAGATTTTCTCTCTTTTTTTTTTTCAGTGAGGTGGTAGGAACCTAGGAGAGAAAAGGGAGATAAGAATAGGTTTCTGGGTGACTGGCCCACCACATCCACTTCCCTGTACCAAATGATATGAGAACGGAAGCAGGTCAGCTTTGAAAGTTACATGATAACACCACTGACAACCTAGTACTAAGGTTCAAAACCTCAGAATCTTCTTTGACTCCTTATTTCTCCTTTTGACTCACATATAATTGGTTGCCATTTCCTATCACCTCTATATCATCTCTCATATCTATTCCCTGAGAGACAATGTGATGTAATGGAATTAAAGTTGGTTTTGGAGTCTGACATACTTTAAAACAAATATCATATGTATTTGCAGTTTCATGTACATTCCTCTCCTGTTCTACAATATATATTGAAAAGATTATTTTATGCGTTATTTGTTAAGTTCATAGGAAAAAGAAAAATAGAAGAAAAAGGAATGTTTTTTGTTCAATGTGATAGTTAAATTATAGTAAACTGTCTCAAATTCATTTTATGCTTTTACCGGAAATAATGTTAAGCCACTATGTTGCCTATAACCAAATCTGTTAGGAAGTTGACTGTCCATGGAATCAAAAGTGACCCTGAAAGAGTTCTGAAATCCTCTGCAACCAAAGCTACTTCTTTGGGACATGCAAAAATATTAATTGTACTTCTTAATTAAGTGTTGCTGTGTTTAATTACCACATTTTAGGTGTCTGGTACTTAAATGCTGAAAAAGGGAAGAACATCCAACTTCATTTTGAAGCATTTGACTTAGAAGATATTGCCGATGTTGTTGAAGTCAGAGATGGTGGAGATGACAACTCCTTATTATTGGGCAAGTGTTATCCACTGAATCATTTTAGCACAGAATTCAGAACATCTGATCAGCTCATGCAGGAATATCTCAGATTAAATCCAATTATCCTTAAAACCAAAAACACAGCATTCCATACAGAATTTTTTTAAGGAAGGATGAAAGATCAAGGAAATGCTAGATTTTATGTATTTGTTACGTCCTCCTATTTGTTGTTGTGCAGTCATTCATTTGTGTCTGACTCTTTGTGATCCTGTGGGCCATAGCATGCCAGTACTATCCGTGGGGGTTTTTTGGCAAAGATACTGAAGTGATCTGCCATTTTCTTCTCCAGTGGATTAAGGCAAACAGAAGTTAAGTGATTTGCCCAGAGTCACACAACTAATAATTATCTAAGGCTGGATTTGAATTCAGATCTTCCTGACTCCAGGCTCAGCACTCTATTCATTGAGCCACCTAGATGCCTCCGTTTTCCTCTCATGTTTGCAGAAATAGATATTGAGGAAACTTAGAATATCTCATCATCCATGGCATCTATCTTAGCCTGAATTTAAGATTCTTCTCAATCTGGCTCTAAACTAACTTTCTGATGTATTTGACATTATTTCCCATCACAATTCCACAATCTAGTTGCACTGGACTTCCAATTGTTCTCTGAACGCTACAAATTTTTCCTTCTTCCACAAATTTATGCAATATTATTTTCATTCTCCATGTTTGGAATGTATTACCTCTTAGGCTCTAATTTTCAGAATCTTTATTTTCTTTCAATACTTCTATATAGTTTTTTTCTGATCTCCTTCAGCTAAAAATGTTCCTTTCTCAAATTTTCTTAGAGTACTTTGGCTGGATTCAGTTCAATTCAATAAATACTTATTCTTATACCTAATCTGTGCAGGACACTAATATGGGCTAAGTTTTTCAAAGACAAAACCAAAAACCATCCCAGACTTCAAGCAGCTTATATTATACCCTCCATTGTCCGCAGCACTCATTATCTATTTATCTGTGTAAGTTCCATATGTCATCAACACTTTCCAATACAATGTAATCTTTTTCATGGCAAGACCTATATCTCATCAATCTTTGTGTCTCAGCACTTTACACATAGTAGGCACTTAATAAGTGTCTAACTGAATTGGATGATTTCTTGAGAAGTTTAAAGGTGAAAATCATCATTAAAGTCTAGAACTTATGAAGTCATAAGGGATATGATTATATAACTTCAGGGGTTCCTTAGATCATAGATTTGGTGATAAAGGCACCTTAAAGGCTATCTTCTTCAGCTCCCTCATTTTGCAGATGAGAAAGACTGAAGTCCACTGTTTTGAAATAGTAAGAGTCTAGTTTCAGCATGTAGGTGAAAGTCAAATGCTATGTCAGTGCCAAGGTGAGTGACATGATGAGTTCTCCCCACCTTCAAGATCAGCACCACAGCAAGATCCTCTACTCCTTTTAGTACACTATGCTGTTATCCCTTTTATGAGAAAATCCTCTTAAGTGTACTGGCTTCTACTTTAAATCAGGGATAGTTCCATATTTTCCACAGCCAGCTGCTCCTAGGAAGAGTAAAACCTGGATGCTTTTGTTTTCCAGTTTGCGCTAATTCAGTTTCACACCCTGTGTAGTCACAAACATCAAGCTCCACATTGGTAGAAAGACCTAGCACAGACTAATTGTCCATTTCTATTCTTTCATACTTTCTTCTGGGATTTTATCTTTATTCAATAATAATAATAATAGCTAACATTTATCTAGTGCTTACTATATGTCAAGCATTGTGCTAAGTGCTTTACAATTATTATCTCATTTGACCCTCACAACAATCCTGGAAGGTAGGTACTATTGTTATCCCTATTTTATAAATAAGGAAACTGAGGCAAACACAAGTGACTTATCCATGGTCACACAGCTAGGAAGTATTTGAGGCCAGATTTGAACTGAGGTCTTCCTGACTCCAAGCCCGGTACTCTATCCACTGCAAACCTAGACCTTTTGGCACATAGCCTGGGCCTGAATAATCCTGACAAAATTTATCTCCTTGAGTCTTTTTTGAAAAATGTCAGGAATATTGCCAAGTAAAACTGTGTGTTTATACGTGTGTGTGTGTGTGTGTGTGTGTGTGTGTGTGTGTGTGTGTGTGTGTATAATATGTATATATATATTTCTTTTCCAGAGATGATGTTTGTAAGAGAGTGAGGGAATCTTACCCTTCGGATGAATCAGCAAAATTTTTCTTAAATTGCAGGATAAAGCAAATATTTTAAGGAATCCTAAAAGAGATTTCTTAACAGAGGTCTTCATCAATAGATATTGAGGCTGATCTAACAGTCTCTGTTTTGACCTTAATCGTTCATCCTAATATACTAAGATAGGTTAACTGACTTGCTTAGCTAGTAAATGAGGATTTAAAGCACGGCTCAAATCATTTGTTCTTTTCACCCTGTTACACTCTACCACATACAAATAAAAATTGATCCTCTAAAAGATGAAAGAATTAATTTGCACACTTGCTTAAATAGACCAGCTTCTTCATATTTGTTGGAGTTGATCAGGCACAGAACCAAATAGGTACTATAGTTTCTTCAAGCTGCATTGAATAGGTTTACTAAAAATGTACTTTTCCTTGGGAACAGCTGTGTACACAGGGTTAGGCCCTGTAAAGGATGTCTACTCCAGTACCAACCAGATGACTGTGGTCTTCATCACTGATACATCAATAAACAAAAGAGGGTTTTTAGCCAACTTCACTACTGGATATCGTTTAGGAATGTCAGGTAAGTATACTGTGGAACATTAAATATATTTTGTATTAAAGATTTTTAAAATTTTGAATTTAAAATGGGATTAAATTAAATTAAATACTAGCTAAAATATTACAACAATGTAGTACAAAGATTATACATTATGATCAAGTGGGATTTATACTAGGAATGCAGGGATGGCTTAACATAAGGAAAACTATTAACACAATCGATTACATCAACAATAGAAGTTTTAAAAAATATGATTATATCAATAGATGCAGAAAAGCTTTTGATAAGGTTCAACACTAATTTCTATTAAAAGACCCTTGAAAGTATTGATAGATTTTTTCTTAAATTGATAAAAAGCATTTATCTAAAACCATCATCAACCACTATTTATAATGGAGAAAACTAGAAGCCTTCCCAGTAAGATCAGATGTGAAATAAGAATGCCCACTGTCATCAGTATTATTCAATATTGTGTTGGAAATCCTAGCAATAGCAAAGTAGCAGGATATAAAGTAAATCCACGCAAATCATCAATATTCCTATATGTCACAAACAAAACTCTGCAAGAAGAGGTAGTAAAAGATATCCCTTTTAAAATAATTCTAGACAGTATAAAATCCTTGGGAATATACCTGCCAGAACAAACCTAGGAATTATATAAGCCAAATTATTAAAAAAAAAAAAACTTTTTATACAAATAAAATCAGATTTAAATAATTGGAGATGTATTATTATTCATGGACTGGCAGGGCCAATATAATAAAAATGACAATTTTACCTAAACTAATTTATATATTCAATGCCATCCCAATTAAATTACCCAAAAAATTCTTTTACTGAATTAGAAAAAATAATAACAAAATTCATTTAGAAGAATAAAAAGTCAAGAATATCAAAGGAAAAATGGAAAAAAAATATGTATAGAAAGGAAGTTTAGCAGTACCATATCTTAATCTATATTATAAGGCAGTAATTATTGAAACCATTTAGTACTGGCTAAGAAATAGAAAGGTAGATCAGTGAAATAGAGTAGAAATACAATTTACAGTAGCAAATAAATATAACCTTGTATTTGACAAGTGGAAAGACTTATGATTTTGGGATAAGGATTCATTATTTGATAAAAATTGTTGGGAAAACTGGAAAGCAGTGTGGCAGAAACTGGGCATACACCAATACTTATACCATTTACCAAGATAAGGTCAAAATAGATATGTGAGCTAGATATAAAGAGAAATATTACTAGAAAATTAGAGGAACATGGAACATATTACTTATCAGACTTATAGATAGATGAACAATTTATAAATATGAGATAAAAAGCGAAGTTAGGTATAATTTCAATTACATTACATTAAGAAAGTTTTGTACAAATAAAACAAATGTAGCAAAAATTAGAAAGAAAATTGGAGAGAAAAATTTTAGAGACAGTTTATAAGATAAAGGTTTCATAGTGAAAATATATAAAGAACTTTGTCAAATCTATAAGAAAACGAGTCATTCCCCAATTGATAAATGGTCAAAGGATATGAACAGGCAGTTTTCAGTGAAGAAATCAACACAATTTATAGTCATATATTAAAAAAAGCTCTAAATCATTATAAACTAGAGAAATGCAAATTATAACAACTTTGATGTATCACTTTATACGTATCAGATTGACTGAAATGATTAAAGGGGAAAGTGACAGATATTGGAGGGGATGTAGAAAAATTGGGACACTAATTCATTGTTGGTAGAATTGTAAACTAATCCAGCCTTTTGGAGAGCAATCTGGAATTATGCCCAAAGAGTTATTAAACTACCTGTGTCCTTTGACTTTGATCCCACAATACCACTACTAAGTCTATTTCCATAGATAATTAGAGAAAAAGGAAAAGAACCTATATGTTCTAAAATGTTTATGGCAGCTCTCTGTGTTGGCAAAGAAGTGGAAATTGCAGGGATACCCACCAGCTGGGGAATGGCTGAACAAGTTGTGGTATATGAATGTGATGGAATGCTATTGTGCTGTAAGAAATGATGAACTCAGTGATCTTAGAAAAATATGTAAAGACTTGCATGAAACAATGAAGAGCGAAATAAGCAAAACCAAGAAAACATGGTATAAAATAATAGCTATATTGTTTTAAGAATGACTTTGAGTGAATAAGTTATTTTGACTATTATAAATACCCAAATTAACTATAGAAGACATATGAAGAAAGATACTATCTGCATCCAGAGAAAAAACTGATAAATATAAGTACATATAGAATAATTTTAAATTGTATATTTGTGTGTATGTATATACTTATTTGTGTCTAATGATAGCCATTTCTGGGGCAGGGTGGGGGAGGATAGAAAAAAGGAGAAAAAAAAGAAATTACAAAGTAATTTTGTTGGGTATTTGAAAGCAATAGCAAGTTGTGCATAGTAGATTTGCAGTTTCATATACAATCATATTTTTTATTGTACTATGTTATGGAATGCTTATTTTATTTCATAAATATATATTAATGTAATAAAGAAATAAAAGGGAAAAATTCAAAAAAGAATTTAAAATATGAAAAAGATACTAAGTTTACATTAATTGTAAGATTCACATTCCATCTTATCCAATTGAAAAGGATTTTTTTCTTTTTCTCCAAATTCCTTTCAACCATTACATCCCAGTTAAGTATGTAGCAATGATCCCCAATCTTTTTCAATGATCAATCTACTTTTCACTTCCTTGAAACTGAAAGATCATGATGAGGGCAAAAGCATTTATATAGTGCTTTAAGGTTTGCAAAGCACTTTACAAATAATATCTCATTTGATATTCATAACACGATGAAGTAGGTACTATTATTGTCTTCATTTTATAGATGAGGGAACTGAGGCAGACACAGTTTTATAACTCTTTGGAAATAATTCCAGATTGCTCTCCAAAATGGTTGTGTCAGTTCACAGTTTTACCACCGGTGTCCCAATTTTTCCATATCCCTCCAACATTTATCATTTCTCCCTTCTATCATTTCAGTCTAGTAGGTGTGAAATGATATCTCAAAGTTGTTTTAATTTGCATTTCTCTAATCAGTAATAATTTAGAGTATTATACTTATTTTACAATGGACATTGCTACATATTTCGTTTCTCTAGTATTTTTTAAATACAAATTTTCCTGTTACTTGTGTTTAACAAATGTATAGTATTCCCTAAATCAAGAAAAAATTGAGCTGTATTAACTCTTTCATATGAATTTGCTGCCAATTTAACTAGCTAACCTCAATAAGCCAAAACAAATTAGAAATAGATTTTATTGCATTCGAAGTGTGGCACACATCTCTAGCAGTTGTTTGGAAATGTGTCATCCACAATTTAGCAAGCATTATTTATATGTTATATGAAATAATGAAAAGAAAGATGACTATTTATTAGAATGAAGGTGGCAACACAAAGAAAAATAGTATACTTGTTTTAAAAAAAAAGGACGTCATTTGCTACAGGAGACACATAAGGGAGCTATCTTTTTAATAAAACTAGTTTCACTAAGTCAAAGGAAACTACCCATTAGGGCACACAAGGGAAGAAGACATTCTCAGGACTCAGCTTCCACCTATAGCAACTAAGAGTTTTTGTATAGTTATGGGGAGAAAAGGAAACACTGAAGACACCAAAAGCCACATCTGGTTTTGCAGTTTATGAGAGGAGAGGTAGATAGATAAATAGGTAGATAGATAGATAGATAGATAGATAGATAGATAGATAGATAGATAGATGCCACACCTTGAGTGTAATAAAATATATTTCTAATTTGTTTTGGCTTATTAAGGTTAGCTAATTAAATCTATATTCATTTATTTTTTCTATGATGTTCCTAGCCTGTTTTCATAACTGATTTCCTTGATTCCATTGAAAAGGAGAGCCCTTGCAAATTTAGTACAAGTTTTCTTATACAATACCAATTAATTACAAAACTTTTATTTTATCCTCATCAAAATGGAAACTTCAAGGATTACAGATGGTTTCTCATTTTGTCAGGTAAAACTATTAAAAAATGGTAACAAAATTATACTAAAACATTCAAAGAAGAACACAGGGTAAAAAAAAAAATTCTCCTAAAATGAAATTTTCTTTTCTGATTTAAACAAACCTCTTCTTTCCAAACTGTAGAGAAGAGTTAATTGCACTAATAGTGTTTCTTAAGCAGCAGATAAGTTTAAAAACTGCAGACTGAAAAAGCACTTATTTCTTTTTTTTTTTCATTCTCTGAGGTTTTCTTAACATTCTCTAGGTGGTGAAATCACCTTCTTTTCCTATGCTAAAAAAAAAATCACTAAGGAAAAGTGATAAAAAAGGGTCTAAATGCTATTTGCATGTAATTTGCACAAAGTTTTTATTCTTATTTGTCCTTTAAAACATTCTACAAAGTGATAGCCACAAAATTCACTAAAATATTTTTGCATTTATAAAAACATTCAATCCACAATTTGGAAATTCATAGTAAAGAAATTACTTTTCACTCATAAATTTAGTCTATTTTTTAAAATACATATTATTTGTTTACTTTTAATATTTTTTAAAATTTTGAGTTAAAAATTTTCTCCCTCCTTTTGTCCCTCCCACACTCATTGAGAAGGCAAGCAATATAGTATCAATTATACATGTGAAATCATGCAAAATATATTTCCTAGCCATGTTGCACAAAAAAGCAAGAAAAATAACAGTGAAAAATATGTTTCATTTTGCACTCAAAGTTCATCAGTTCTCTCTCTGGAGGTAGATAATATTTTTCATTATGAGTCCTGTGGAATTGTCTTAGATCATTATATTGATCGGAGCATCTAAGTCTTTCCAGTTGATCATCATTATAATATTGCTGTTACTGTGTACTTTAATCTTCTGTTTCTCCTTACTTCACTGTGCATCAATTCAAATAGGTCTTTTGAGGATTTCTCCCCTCATCATTTCTTATGGCACAATAGTATTCCATCACAATCATGTACCACAACTTGTCCTGCTATTCCCCAATTAATAAGCATGCCCTCAATTTCCAAGTCTTTGCCACTACAAAAAGTGCTGCTATAAATGTCTATACATAAAAGTCCTTTCCCCTTTTCTTTGATCTCTTTAGGTTTACAGATACAGTAGTGGTATTGCTGGATCAAAGAGTAAGCACAATTTTATAGCTTTTTGGGCATAGTTCCAAATTGTTCTCCTCAATGGTTGGACCAGTTCACAAATCCACCAATAGTGCATTAATATCCCTGCTTTTCTACAACCCCTCCATCATTTGCCATTTTCTTTTTCTGTCATGTTAGCCAAGCTTATAGATGTGAGGTGGTACTTCAGAGTTGTTTTCATTTGTATTTATCTAATTATTAATAATTTAGAGCATTTTATATGACTATTGATAGCTTTGATTTCTTCTTCTGAAAACTTCCTTTTCATATCGTTTGACCATTTATCAATCAGGAAACAACTCTCATTTTTTACAAATTTGTCTCTGCTCCCTATATATCTGAGAATGAGGCCTTTATCAGAGAAACTTGCTGTAAAAAAATTTTCCCCAATTTTTAGCTTTCATTCTAATTTTGACTGCATTGCTTTTGTTTGTACAAATTTTTTTTTGAAATTTCATGTAATTAAAATTATGCATTTTACTTCCCATGATCCTTGTTATCTTTCATTTGGTAATAAACTCTTTCCTTATTCATAAATCTGACAGGCAAAAATTTCAATGTTCCCTTAATGCTTATGATATCACCCTTTATATCTAAATCACGTACCTATTTTGACCTTATCTTGGTATATGATGTGAGATATTGGTCCATGACTAATTTCTGCCAAACTCCTTACCAGTTTTCCCAGCAATTTTTGTCAAATAGTGAGTTCTTGCTCCAAAACCTTGGTTCTTTGTGTTTATCAAAAACTAGATTACTGTATATTGTGTACCTAATTTATTCTACTGATCTACCATTTCTAAACCAGTGCCAAATTGTTATAGTGATTTCCATTGTGTAATATAGTTTGAAATCTGGTACCACCATGCCACCTTCCTTCACATTCTTTTTCATTGAGTCCCTTGATAATATTGACCAGAATTCTCCCAGATGATTTTTGTTATTTTTTCTATATCTACAAAATAATTCTTTGGTAGTTTAATTGTAATGGTACTGAATAAATAAATTAATTTAGGTAGAATTGTCATTTTTTACATTGACTCACTCTGCTGATGAGCAATTAATATTTCTCCAGTTGTTTAGATTTGTCTTTATTTGTGTGAAAAGTGTTTTGTAAGTGTGTTCATATGATTTCTGGGTTTGTCTTGGCATGTAGATTCCCAGGTATTTTATATTGTCTGCAATTATTTTAGATGGAATTTCTCTTTTTAACTTTTCCTGCTGGACCTTATTGGTAATATATAGAAGTGCTGATGATTTATGTGGGTTAATTTTATATCCTGCAACCTTACTAAAGTTATTAATTGTTTCCACTAGTTTTTTTAGTTGATTCTCTAGAGTTCTCTAAGTATACCATCACATTGTCTACAAAGAAAGATAATTTTGTTTCCTCATTGCATATTCTTGTTTCTTCAATTTCTTTTTCTTGTCTTACTGGTACAGTTAGTATTTCTAATATAATATTGAATAATATTGGTAAAAATGGGCATCCTTGTTTAACTCCTAATCTTATGGAAAGGCTTCATAAATGTAGTCTCTAAATAGTTTATGGTGTCATAAATTTCTGCAAATGGCAAAAAAGATTTCCATCTCTCTTATCTTTCTTTATCTCTGCAATCTCATCTTGGCCAGAATTGGGAAGATAGAAATTAGACCATATCTTTTGAAAGCTTTTTAAAATTTTCTTTTCTTCTGAATAGAAAAGTTCTCATTCTTTTCCTTATATTCTAGTGAAAGTAAAGGAGACAGTTTAACATTAAAATTTGCCAGGTACCTGAAATGAAAAGGGCATTTCTTCTGCCAAAGCTCTGGACTCAGCCAGAATCTGAGGCAGCTAACAGTTGTATCTGTTGGCATTTTTGCCTCACAGTCTCTATCTTTCTTTCCCTTTTTGTCTTTTTATCTCTTTTATTAAAGATAAAAGTTATCAGCAAGAGGATTTCTTTCCACTTAGGGGAAGAGTTGTGTAGAGCAATGTTATTGTTTCTTAAACGAATAAGATACCACCTATGGGTTGACAATATTCCCAAATCAGGGGTATCTGAGACTAGTGGTGGGGCGCTAGGTGGGCAATATGACAGAGTACTAGCCCTCAGACTCTTGAGAAACCTCAAAATGAGTTGGATTTTTCTTTTCATTGATTCATTTTTTTTAATAATTTGGTTGGCAAATTTATTTACCTCAGGGTCTATCCAAATGAATTACCCATTTGTTTCAGTAATTTAACTTCTATTTTACCCTGTAAAATGGTAAACTTTTGTGATTAAAGATACCAAATATTTGCCAGGGCTGTTCAATAGAATAAATATAGGGTGGCTATTTAGTTTGACAGAGCCCGACAAGTAAAGACTTAGACTAACTCTGCCTGGGATTTTTTTCTTTCCAATTGGTGAAAATGGATCTGAAAGGACACTGTTCTGGAATAGAAATACTGGATCCCGTAAGGATGCCAGACTACTCATGGCAGGATTGAAACTTATGTCAACTTTATATCATTAGTGATAGGGATCCCCCAACTTTGAATTTAGTCAGCAGATCCAGCCTTCCCTTTCCCCAAAATCCAAGTTAGACCTTCACCAGAGTTTCCTCCGGTTGTGCCCTACCCAAGAATAGTTTTGTTCTGTTCTGTTTTCCCAAATGCTTCCTGGTATTTTAGTACCTGCTACTAAACTAGAACAGAAATTTAACTGAGACTTTAGACAGAGAGTTTAGTCAGAACACTCAATGAACACAAACAACAGATAGATAGACGAGTCCTTGCTTATATGCCTGTAAGAGCTAAGTTGAAAAGGCACATGGTTTGAAAAAAAAAAATCCTAGTCTTAACTTGGATATTCACCTAGAATTAGAGGAGATCCTCCTGTTGGAGCATGAATATTCTTAATCAAGTCCTTGCTTTTGAATACTGAATGATGGTGCTGTGCTCCTCAGGTAACCAGTGCAGCTGCTTGATTGAGCTATGCCTCAGTTCTGGACAACAGTTTATATCTAATAGATTATTCAGATGCAAAGACAGACAGATGCTACAGAACAAAAAAAAACACACATGAAACACCAACTTGTTTTTGTAGATCTCTCAATTTGGAGCTCAAAAGTACTGGACTGTTATTTTACTAGCTCTCCTAGGTCCCTCTCCCTAGAAGGTCCTGAATTGGTGAACTCATCAGTGCATGCTTGGAAAGTTCTTAGAGATGAGGATCTGAGGTTGGGTCATCCAGTCCCATTGGAGATTGCCATATTTGTCCCATCAATTTATTTATTTATCAATTTAACTAGCCAGCACCAATAAGCTAAGATGAATCAGAAGAGCATTTTATTACACTCAGAGTGTAGCATATTCCATCAGCAGCTGATGCAAAGTGTGTCATTCATAATTTAGCAGGCATGAAACAAAGAAAAGAATTTATACAAAAAAAAGAACAAAGTACTTGTTAAAAGAAAATATATATCATTTGCTATAGGTGATAGATAAGAAAGTTATCTACTTAGTATACTAGTTTCACCAAGTCAAAGAGAACTACCCATCAGGCCAGACAAAGAAGAAGTCCTGAAATTCTTAAGACTCTGTAATCTCCCACCTTTAGCAAGTAAGTCTTTTTGTACAAATATGGGGAGAAAAGGAGACATGAAGGTCTGGTTTTGTAGTCTATGGGAGGTCATATATAGAAAAATTGTTAATACAGAAAAAAATAATCAGTTATGTTGTTCCAGAAATTCACTTCTAAGAATTCTTTCACCATGATATTGCTTCAACCAATAACCATCATTTGTCCAAACCTATGTTCTATGGCAACGCTCTGATTTTAAAATGATGAAAGAGTATGTTGTGTTTTTATTTATATTTTTGCTATAAATACTGTTTTAAGCTAAAACTATTGGCTAAATATTTTTTCTCTCACAGAACCCTGCAAGCAAAATGAGTTTCAGTGTGTGAATGGAGAGTGCATTCCGATTGTTAATGTTTGTGATAATTATCAACATTGTACTGATGGTTCAGATGAAACAAATTGTGGTATGTATTTTTATTGGGGAAGAGGAGGAAAGTCTCTTATAAGGTCCTGTAAAAAATATTTTATAAAGATAGCTGACATTTATATAGAACTCACTATGTGCCAGGCACTGTGCTGAGCACCTTTTACAAATGTTACCTTATTTGATCTTCATGTCAATCCTGGGAGGTAGTGCTATTTTCATCCCCATTTTACAGGTGAAGAAATTGAAGCAGACAGAAGTTGTTTGACTTGCTCACAGTCACACAGCTAATAAGTGTCTGAGGCCAGATTTGAATTCAGGTCTTCTTGACTTCAGGCCTGGCAGTGCTCTATCCACTGTGCCACCTAACTACCCCTGTAAACAAATATGAATCATCTACTGGTTTTCAGTGATAGTATGGGAGGGTTAGTGTTGGGATATTGTTTCATGTTTTCCTATGTATAAAGGTATCTCAGTGATCCATCTGTGTACCTCTATCAACCAGAGAGAGGATTCAGCTTTTTGTCTTTCCTGTATGGCAGAGAAACCTCAGCATGATGCTCTGTCCCATTCATTGCCTTGGCCTTCAATTCCAAGACCTTCTCCAAGTTGCCTTTTTTATCTTTTGAAATGATAGCATTTTGAAGTAGAAGAAATGTCTATGGGGCAGCTAGGTAGCACAGTGGATAGATCACTGGCCCTGGAGTCAGGAGGACCTGAGTTCAAATCTGGATTCAGACACATAATACTTCCTAGCTGTGTGACTCTGGGCAAGTCACTTAACCCCAACTGCCTCACTTAAAAAAACAAACAAACAAAAAGAAATGTCTACCTCCTTATGTTAAACATGAGGCCACTGAGGCCCAGAGAGGTTAAATGATTTTCCTAGGTTTGCACTATTAGGTAGCAGATTCAGGATTCAAACCCAGGTTTTCTGGTGCCAGGTCTAGTGTTTTTCTGTGACAGCATGCTGCCTGTGAAGATCTGCAATCTTCTGACCTTTTGGCTACAATTAATATTCACAGGTCCCAAACCACCCAGAACCTGAGAAGGAAAACAGGATAGAGTGCCTCTGCCCTAGAATCAGAGTTCATCATCAAATCCATTCACTGATCCAATTCAATCCAACAAGCATTTATTAGGTCCCTACTATATGTAGGGTGCTCTGTGTAATAGGCATAAAATTCCTAGAAAACACCTATGATGTCCTCCTTTTATCTCTTCTACCTCATGAAATGTGAATGTCATAAAAAAAATTTGGGTAACATACCAATATCGGGGATTACACAATATCAATCAATTAGCATTTATTAAGCCTCTACTATATGCCAGGTACTGTGCTAAGCTCTAAGGATACAAAAAGAGGCAAAAGACAGTCCCTGCCTTCAAGGAAATTATAGTCTAATGGAGGAGACAAGAAATAAATAAGTACAGACAAGATATATATACAGGATAAATAGGAAATAACAGAGAAAGCACTATAATTAAGATGGATTGGGAAAGGCTTCCTGTAGAAGATGGGATTTTTATTGAGACATAAAGGAAGCCAGGAAAAGCAGTAGGCAGAGATGAGGAGGGAGAACATTCCAGGCATGGAGGACAGCCAGAGAATGCCTAGACTCAAGAGATAGAGTGCCTTGTTTGTGAAACAACAAGGAGGCCTGTGTCATGGGATCCAAGAGTAGTGGTGAGGAGTAAGGTGTAAGAAGATTGGAAATGGGGGGCAGCTTGGTGGCACAGTGGATAGAGCACCGGCCCTGAAGTCAGGAGGACCTGAGTTCAAATTTGGCCTCATACCAAACACTTGACACTTACTATCTGTGTGACCCTGGGCAAATCACTTAATTCCAATTGCCTTAAAAAAAAAAAGTGGAAATGTAGAAGAGAGCTAGGTTATGAAGGACTCTGAAGGTCATAGAGAGGATTTTGTTTTTGATCTTAGAGACAATAGGGAACAACTGGAGTTGATTGAGTAGGGGTATGATATGATCAGACCTCTGCTTTAGGAAAATCATTTTGATAGCTGAATGGAGGTTGGATAGGTCTGTCTGTAGCAGACAGAGCCACAGTCCAGATGTGAGCTGATGAAGGTTTATACCAGAGTGGCAGCAGTGTCAGAGGAGAAAAGGTGACGTATTTGAGAGATGTTGCAAAGGTGAAATCAATAGCCTTTGTCAACAGGTTGAATTTGAGGGGTAAGAAATAGTGAGGAATCCAGGATGACTCTTAGGTTGCAAGCCTGAGGAACTGAAAGAATGATGATTTCCTGGACAGTAACAGAGAAATTTGGAAAGGGACAAAGATATTGAACTATGTTTTGGGCATGCTTTTTAAGATGTTTACTGGACATCCAGTTTGAAATGTCTAAAATGCACTTGGAAATGTGTGATTGGAGGTCAGCAGACAGACCAGGGCATTGTAGGTAGATTGAAAGTTATCAGCACAGAGATGGTCATTAAATCCATGAAAGCTAATGAGATCAATTGAAGTTAGTATAGATGGAGAAGACAAGAGGGCCAGGACAGAACCCTGAGGGACACCTACAGTTAGAGGGCACGATCTAGATGTGGATTCAAGGCAAAGGAGACTAGAAAGGAGTGGTCAAATAGGTAGGAAGACAACCAGGAAAAAGTGATGCCCCCAAAACCTGGAAACAAGAGAATCATCAAGCATGAAAGGTATGTGACATCAACATTGTCAAAGGAGAAGTGTTTGACATCAATGTGTCAAAGATTGCAGAGAGGTCAAAGAGTGTGAAGGCTGAAAAGGCCATTGGATTAGGCAACTAAGAAATCATGGGTAGCTTTAGAGAGAGCAGTTTTGGTGGAATGATGAGGTGGGAAACTGAATCGAAAGGGGTTAAGAAGAGCATGAGAGGAGAGAAAGTAGAGGCACTTGAAAGTATAGCTATGGAATGGCCCCTTGGTAGAGAACACAACTCTAACAATGGGCTGGGGTTTTGAGCTTCCAGCCACATAAAGGTTTATCTCTCCTGCGTGACTCTCATTGTACCCTCAAGCCATGGACACCAGGCAACATAAGGAAAGAGTTGACCACAGATGGTTATAAGAAATAATACTAAATCTGGCAAATGTATTCTTTGGAGCAAGTATCTGTCATGATAACATGTCACACACCTCCCAGCTTTTCCAATTTAAAAGTCCTCTTAAAAAAGGGAACTTCAGATGTTGCCATGGTGGCATTGCTGCCAGGGGACATCCTCCACCTCCTCAGTCTTTTCCTCAACTCTAGACATAGCCTCTATATGAATACTGCCCCTTCGATCCATCACTTGTTCCCAAACTATGAAGAATTACAAATCCCAGGGGTTTTGGTGGCCAGCCAACCCCTTGCCAGAAATTGTCACACGAGGACAAAATGAAAAACAAGCCCTACTTTCAAGAAGCTAAAAATTCGGTGGGGGCAATACAGTCCTTACACAGATAAAGTAAATGCAAGATAATTTGTTGAGGCAGAGAACTCTAACACCTAGAGGAATTAGAAGAGAAGACACAGAGAAGTTCAGGGTATGGAAGAGCAGAGGTCAGAATTCATGTGAGTAAAGATTATCATTAAGGAAGGCTTAACTATAATAGAAATGCTTAAGAATGTTGCTGAACTTTAGTTTTCCTCCTTTTAGAGATTAAGATTCTATATGTGTCATTTGATAAAGTTTCTTCATCACTTTTGTAGTTATTTGCTTCAGGTAACCTGTACACTGATCTCTGGCACTTTTGGTTTTCTCTGTCCCATCTCATTTTTAGAATCATATGTAAAGAGTTAATACCCGAGGTTTTTGTTAACTACTTTCAGCTCACACACATGTTCAGTTCAAATGGATATAGTCAATCGTTAATTTACATACATTTGCAAATGTCCTGTTTTTATTTTGAGAGACATTATTTACTGTCATTATGATACTGTATCTGTCTATTTTTCTTTAGTTCAGCTAGTCAATGGCACGTTAAGTGTCAATGGTTTTGTACAATTCAGGATTCAGAGCATATGGCATGTGGCTTGTGCAGATAACTGGAACAACCAGCTTTCAAATGATGTTTGCCATTTGTTAGGATTAGGGTAAGTAATGTTATTCACTGCTGCTATTGATAACCATGTTTGGATTTGAGGAGTTTGAAATATTTACTTGCCCTGCTTCTTTGGGTTGTTCATCAAATATGTGAAAATGGTAAAATGCAAATTTAAAAATGTAAATGTAAAATGTAAAAAATTGACGATCATTATTGCCCTGGATTTAAGGACATCAATGTTCAACTTGCAGTTTGTCATCTAAATATTATATATGTGTTATTTCTTTTTCTTTTTAATTCCAAGACCTGAATTCTTAACAAAATTATACCATGGACCCCTTTGTTCGTCTGGTGAAGCTAATAGCTCCCTTCCCAGAATAATGATTTGAAAGCATAAAAAAATACAGAATTTCAAAGGAAACTAATTGTATTAGAATTAGTACTATCAAAATCTTTAAAAAGACAGTTATATGCTCCAGGTTGAAAACCCTTGCTTTCTTAAATGAAATCCTGAAACTTTAATTTAATATAGGTTTTGAAATGATTTGCTATTTCCAAAAGCTCTAATTTGTGTGGTGGCAGTTCAAGGAGTGCTATGAAAAAAAACAATATGTTTATTCTTTCTGCACATCAGTGCAGTATTACTGTCATCCTAGGATTAAGTCTGTTTAGTTATTTTCTTTTACTTTCATTTTGGTTTTTTAGTCTTTTCAGTAGGGACAGAAAAACATATTAGGATAAAATTGTAGCATATCCAAGTATTGAGCTTCTTCCTTTCTTTGAACTTAGGGTGCATAACTCTGTAATATCCAGGTAAATGGACAGAACTGTTATTTGAAATTACATGCTTCTTGACATTTGAAGCTTGCAACTCTTTTAATGTATATATATTCTTCTTGGTTTCTATCATGACAGAAAATTAAACTACAAATCTTTATAGAAAGATCTTCTAGCAGGAAACTTGACATTTAAAACAAAAACTTACTGTGTGTACAAAACACTCTCCTAGATTGTGGATCTGGAAACAAAAATTGTTTGTTGAGATATTCAAGTGTATTCCTGAATCAAAGTTGCTATCACCTAAAACAAAACTCTGGGACAAGCATCCTGTTTGGTGGGATCAAGAATAGCTCTTTTGTTATTATTTTCCTTTAACCATTTATAAATTGGGGAATGGTTCTTTTTCTTGTAAATTTGACTCAGTTCCTGTGTGTATTAGAAATGAGACCTTTATCACAGAAACTTGCTGCAAAGATTTTTCTCCCCTCAGCTTCCTGCTTTTGTTCTCATTTTAGCTGCATTGGTTTTATTTGTGCAAAAACTTTTTAATTTTATGAAATCAAAATTATTAACTTTGTTTGGTCATGACCATCCCTATCCATGGATGTGACTGGTAATTTCTCCAGATTTTCACTAATTTGCTTATGATATCACCCTTTACATGTTGTCACCTAAATTATATACCCATTTCAAGCTTATATTTACATACAGGGTGAGAGGCTGATCTCACATACCTAGTTTCTGCCAGACTACTTTAATGTTTTCCAAAATTTTTGTTGAATTTGTTGAAGCTCTTACCCCAATAGCTGGGATCTTTAGAGCTGTCAAACACTAGGTTGCTGTTTTCATTTGTTTCTGTATATCATATAACTAATCTGTTCCACTTATCAACTTCTTTATTTCTTACCCACTACAAAACAGTTTTGGTGATTATTGGCTGATAGTATAATTTGAAATCTGGTACTGATAGACCACCTTCCTTCCTTTTTTTTTTTAATTGATTCCCTTGATATTCTTGTCCAGATAAATTTTGTTATCATTTTCTCTAGCTCTATAAAATAATTCTTTGGTAGTTTGATTGGTATGGCATTGAATAAGTAAATTAATTTAGGTACTATTGTCATTTTTTATACTGGCTCAGCCTACCCATAAACAATTAATTTCTCCTAATCTAGCTTTATTGTGTAAAGATTACTTTGTAATTGTGTTCAATTATGTTCTTGTGTGTGTTTTGGAGGTTAGACTTTAGTATTTTATAGCATCTGAAGTTATTTTAAATGGAATTTCTCTATCTCTTCCTACTGGGTTTTGTTGGTAGTATATAGAAATGTTGATAACTTATGTGGGTTTGTTTTATATCTTGCAACTTTGCTAAAGTTGTTCATTGTTTCAATTAGTTTTTTAGTTGATTCTCTAAGCATACCATCATATCATCTACAAAAAGTAATAATTTTGTTTCTTCGTTGTCCATTCTTATTCCATCAGTTTCTTGTTATTGGCTTATTGGTGCAGCTAGCATTTCTAGTATGGTATTGATAATAATGGTAATATAGGACATCCTTGCTTCACCCCCCCATCTAATTAGAAAGGCTTTTAGATTATCCCCATTATGATAATACTTGCTCTTGGTTTTAGATAGATACTACTTATCATTTTAAGAAAAATTCTTTTTATTTCTATGTTTTCTAGCATTTTTAATAGGAATGGATGTTGTATTTTGTCAAAAGCTTTTTTTTGCAACTGTTGATATAATCATATAATTTTTAATTATTGAAATGGACAGTTATGCTTATAGTTTTCTTAATATTGAACTAGCTCTGCATTCCTGGTATAAATGTGACCTGCTCATAGTATATGATCTTTATGATATATATTTCTATAATCTCCTTGCTAGCATTTTATTTAAAATTTTTGAATCAATATTCATAAGGGAAATAGGTCTATAACTTTCTTTATCTCTCTTGTTTAGGTATCAAAACCATATTTGTGTCATAAAAGTCATTTGGTAGGGCTCCTTTACCTGTTTTTTCAAACATTTTACATAGTTTTGGAAGTAGTTGTTCTTTAAGTGCTCAGTACAATTATCTTGTCAATCCATATAGTCTGGGTTTTTTTTTCTTACTAAATTAATTTATAGCTTACTCAATCTCTTTTTCCAAGGTAGGGCTATTTCAGTATTCTATTTCCTCTTTTCTTAATATGGGCAATTTATATTTTATTCATCCATTTCATTTAGATTGTCAGTTTTATTGGCATGTAGTTGAGTGAAATAGCTCCTAATTGCTTTTATTTCTTCATCATTGGTTACAAATTTTTTTTCATTTTTGATACTGGTTTTCTTATCTTTTTAAAATTAGATTATTTAACAGCTTATTTATTTTAGTGCTTTTAGTTCATAATTTTATTTCTCAATTCAATGTTGTTGTTTTTTACTCCAAAAATTGTTAATCACTCCTTTCATTTTCACAATTTCTATTTTGGTATTTAATTTGAGGTTTTTAATTTGTTGCTTCTAGGGTTTTTTTGTTTTTTGTTTTTTTAGTTGCATGAGCAATACTTTTCTATCCCTCTTTTGATGAAAGAATTCAGAGCTAGACACTTTTCTCTAAGTGACTTTTGACTACAGCTCAAAAATTTTGGTATGTTGTCTCATTGTTGTCATTATCTTCAGTGAAATTATTGATTGTTTCTATGAGTTGTTCTTTGACCCACTCACCATTTGGTTTTAAGTTATTTAGTTTTCAACTAATTTTAAGTTTATGTTTCAAAGGTCCTATATATAATTTTTATTGACTTATGATCAGAAAAAGATGCATTTAATATTTCTACTGTCTGCATTTTTGTCAGGTATTTATGCCTTAATGCATTGTCAATTTCATGAAGGTGCCATACATCACTAAGAAATAGTTATACTTCTTTCTGTTCTCATTCAGTATTCTCCAGAGGTCTAGCATATCTAACTTTTCTAAAATTCTATTCATTTCCTTACCTTCTTTCTTATTTATTTTATAGTTAGATTTAAGTAGGCCAAGAGAGATAAATTCAGATCCCTTTATTGTTTTATTGTTTATTTTCTCCTGTAAATCATTTAAATTTTCCTTTAATAATTTAGATGCTTTGTCATTTATTTGGAGCATTTATGTTCACTGTTGATATTAATTCATTGTCAGTGGTACTTTTTAGCAAAATGTAATTTCCTTTTTAAATGAGATCCATTTTTTGCTTTTGATTCGTCTGAGATCGTGAGTGCTAACCTTTCCTTTTTTATTTCAGCTAAAGCATAATAGATTCTGCGCTTGCTTTTTATTTGAATTCTGTGTGTATCATTCTGTTTCAAGTGTGTTTCTTGTAAACAACACACTGATGAATTTTAGATTCTAATACATTCTGTTATCCTCTTCCATTTTGTGTATGAGTTCATTCCATTCACTTTCACAGTTAGGATTACTGTGTATTTCTCTCTTTCCTGTTCTCTTTTACTTTTTCTTCTTGTCCTTTCTTTCAAAGTCTGTTTTCCTTCTGACTAATGCCTTCCTTAATCTACCCTCTCCTTTATTCTCCCCTTTTCCCTTAACACCTTTTCCTCATGTTTTCTTTGTTGGGTAAGATGAATTTCTGAACCCAACTATGTGCACATGTGCATTCTTTCCACTTTTAACCAGTTCAGATGAGAGTGAGGTTCAATTGTTGCCCATTCTCCCTCCACTGCTTTCTCAGTTGTACATACTCTTCCTTGAACACTCCATTTATGTGACATAGTTTTCCCTATTCTTTCTCTCCCTTCCCCCTGCCTGTCTCTCAGTGCATTCCTCTTCCCCACCTTTCTATTCTTTTCAGATCATCCAAACACAAAGGAATCACTACCAGGCTCTCTGTCTAATTAGACTCACTTGAAGACTCTTGGTGATGCTAAAGTTCTAGGGGCTTACATGTATTATCTCCTTATATAAGAATGTAAGCAGTTTAACATTATTTAGTCCCTTGTGATTTCTCACTCATGTTTACCTGTGTTCATGTGGTAAATTTTCTACTCAATTCTGGTCTTTTCATCCAGAATGCTTAAAATTTCTCAATTTCATTGAAGGTACATTTTTCCTCCGTAGGATTATACTCACTTTTGCTGCACACAGTATCATTGGTTGTAAGCCTTGCTCCTTAACCTTCTGGAATATCATGTTTCAATTTCTCTATTCCTTTATGGTGCCAGCTTCTAAAGCTTGTTTTATCCTGCCTATGTCTCCTCAGTACTTGAACATTTTCTTTCTGACTATCGTATCTTTTCTTTTATCGGGAAGCTCTGAATTTTGGCTATAGTATCCCTGGAACTTTTTATTTGGGGGCTTACTTCAGAAGGTCACTAGTTAATTCTTTAAATTTCTACTTTGGCCTCTGATTCTAATATAGTTGGGTGGTTTTCAGTCTTTTGACTGATTATTTCTTCCATAGAATCATTAGCTTCCATTTGACCAATTTTAATTTTCGAGGAATTACTTTCTAAGTAAAGTTTTATACCTCTTTTACCAAAGCGACTAATCATCTTTTAATATCTTTCTTCCATAACCCTTATTTGGTTTTTTTTAAGTCTTTCTTTAATTGTTATGAGAATTCTTGTTGTGTTTGTGTTCAACTGCATTTTTTGAGGCTTTGCTTATAGATGTTTTCAAGTCATTCTCTTCTTCTGTGTGTATATCTTGAGCTTCCATGTCACTGGAGTAGTTTTTATGGTCAGTTTCTTTTTGTTTGTTTGCTTGTTTCCTCAGTCTTTGAGCATGCTTCTTGACTGTGGACTTCATGTTAGTGCTGGACTCTGGGAGTGTACTTTGGGAATGAGGGGGATTGTCTAGCCTGAGCTTCTGTCCTTTTACGTCCTTCTTGTGCTTTCACAGTTCACTTTTGGGGCCTACAAATTTTTAGAGCTTCCAAATTGATGTGATCTGCAGAGAGGTCTGTTCATTGCCTTTGTGGCCTGAGCTTTGCAATTTTCTAACCCAAGTTTGGCTCTGTTGGCTTATGCATGTTTGGGTTTCTATAGACTATTGCTAGACTCAGTCACTATTAGCCTGCTGCGAGGAGGCTCTGCAGGTTCAGAATAACTGAATTGCTGGTTCCCTTGTGTTATAGGATTTCATCCCTAGTGATTCCGTTGCAGACTTAGACACAATACAAAGGCTAGAAAGGAGTCCCAGCTGCTCTGCTTCTACACTCAGAACCACACAACTATACTTCTGAACATGTTCCTTGCTCGATACCCAGCTGCTATGGGCCTATGCTCCCTTGTGGCTTTTGCTTTGTTCCACCTTGGATCTGGAAAATGGGTGACAGAGCTATTAGATGGCACCCATTCCTATACCCATTGCTAATTAAGAGATCCCCTGGGTTCTCTTTCTGCCCCAAGTCTTCCTGCCTTGGTGGTCTTTCTCAGCCCTCTATTCCATCCCTGGGCTCAAGAATGCTCTTTGCTGCTACTGGTGGGCCACTGTGCTGGTCAGCCCTCATCCCTAGTGTCAGCAGATGTGTTTATCTTCCTAAGCTGGACAAATACCTCATTGTGACCTTTCCTTGGTTTTCTCAATTAGTAGTAAGCTAGATGTATTTTCTATATTGCTGTGGAGGTATAATGGGTGAGCTAAGGTAAACATGCTTTCCCTCATTCTGCCATCTTGACTCTGTCTCTTTATTTGGTTTTAAAATTTATTTTTAGTTTTTTTCCTATCTCTTCAAGGAATTCTAGGTGTACTTGTATCCAAGCTGTGTCTTTTCTTTGAGGCTTTACTTATAGATGTTTTAGAATTATTCTCTTCTTCTGGATTTGTCTCTTGAGTATCCTTATCACCATCATAACTTTTTATGATAGGAATTTTTTTATTATTGTTTGCTCATTCTTCTAGACCAGGGCTTCTTAAACTTCTTCCACTCCAGTGGCTTTTAGGCAATGTTAGTTGGCTTTGCATGGCCTGAGGGCATGCACAGTGCAAAGTGCACATGCTTTGTTTTCACAACCTAGGCTGAAGTAAAGTTGTGTGATACAATGTGGACAAGCACTACCAGCAACACCTCCGATTCATTACGCATTTGGTTTTTAATTAATTTTTGGTTGTTGCTCACTCAGAAACCTTTTTTTAAGAAGTTCTATAGACTGCTTCAGATTTTATGCTAGATTTAAGCACTCTGTACTTCTTGGGGAGGAGGGGAATGTCTTGGTTGACCTTTTATCCCCTTGGGTACCCAATACCTTAGGTATTTAATGTTGTGCTATTCCAGGATCTCAATGATAGCTCAGGCTGAGGAACTGTAAGCTTCCAGTACACCCAAAATTATATGATCTGGGAAAAGTCAGATAAACTACCCTACTTATATATGAGCTCTGCAAGTTCCTGAATGTTCCCTATTTGTATGAGCTCTGCATATCTAAGAATGGGAACTTGGATTACCAAGCAATAGAGCTTCCAGTTGGCATCTATTCCCACAACCTGCAGAAGGTCACAGTCACCTAGTATATGTCAGGGACCTGTTCTTACCATATATAACTTTCCCCTATACTGAAGTGGTCACTCTTGGTAACCTGATAAGAAACAGGACTGTATGTAGGACAGTTATACCTAAAAAATTCAAGAGGACCACAAGTCATGACAGCCTGATTTGAGGACACTACCAACAGGGAACAGGGAAAGGGGTGAATCTTCTTCTCCTGCAATCATGGCTTAGATAGACGGAAATTAAGTCTGAATAGAGGTAGTAAAAAGGAATCAGGGTCCAGTTACGAAACGTGGATCAGAAATTCAAGTCAGAATTTAAGAACAGCACAAAGCAGGAATTATGATCAGAAGAAATCAGAGTAAAGGTACAGAGAAAGAAAAGCAAAAGAAAGCCAGTTATCCTTCCCACCACTGCCAACAAACAGACAAGCACCAAAATGGAGTCAGTGCCTTTCTAAAGCAACATGGCAACCTGAGGGAGAGATAGGAAGCAGCATGTGCTGAGCAGGTCAGAACACCTCAACCATTCTCAATGGAGAAAGCCCAGGAGACTGAAAGTCCATTTACCCTGGGAAAAGCAGCAGCCTCTCAACCAGGGTGGGGAACCTGCAGCCTCAAGGCCACATGTGGCCCTGTAGGTCCTCAAGTGCAGCCCTTTGACTGAATCCAAACTTCACAGACTGAATCCCCTTAATAAAAGGACTTGTTCTGTAAAACTTGGAGTCAGTCAAAAGGCCGCAGCTGAGGATGTAGAAGGTCACAAGTAGCCTCAAGGCGTCATGTTCCCCTTGCCCTAGACCAAAGGCACTTGCTACCAGGCCAGCGCCTGCTGGCAAAGAAATCAACTCTTGTAAAGGTGCAATCTGGAAATTGCATCCACAGACCACTGCTACTGAAGACCCAGAAAAGAAACAATCATAATTTGGTTTTCATTATATTGGTGATGTTTTCTACTTGTCATTACACCAAAAAGGTGATCATTGTAAAGCTCCTAAAATATTAATCAATATTAAGGACCACATGCACAGCCCACCAGATATGAGTTAGTATACTGAACAACTCTTTCTATAGATTTCAACTCCAAAAGTAGATTAATATTTCACATTTTGTATGTGTTCTTATCTATGTGAATAGTCCAAACATATATTGCAACCTCTCCATTCCTTATAAAACCATGTAATGATTTGTTGTGGCAAAAGGAAAAGAAATGAAAAGAAAGCAAAAAGAAGAGAGGAGAAAAAGAAGCAAAAAGAAAAAGAGAAGAGAAAGGAAAAGAATCATTATTTGGTAGTCACACTTCTGGTAATGAACTTCCCTGAATTTAGCTAAGTTATTTATTGAGGATAGATTCACACAAGTCATTATCAGACCAAACCTATATTCAAAGAATATCTTTCATAGTAAAAGCTATCAAAGCTGGCATTCAGTAACCTAGGGTCAACTCTATGCCCTGATGAGTTATTAGAGTAGAATTTGACTGAAGAAATTAAAAAGTAGTGTGTTAAAAATGCTAAATGCTTTATCTTGCATGAAAAATCACTCTTACTTTCTTCTTATTACTAGAGGTACTTCTTTGGCAATGTTCATTTACCATTCAAGGAAATTAATACATGAACTGATTATGCATTTTGTTTTTTCAGGAATGTGAATACATCATCGCAACTTTTTTCAACTGGTGGTGGACCATTTGTCAAACTAAGTATAGATTTTAATGACAGTTTAATCCTGATGCCCAGGTAGGTTATACAAATGTGTTCATTACCTCAAATAGATACGCAAATTAGTCTCGTATGAAAATAATGAGATCTGGGATAAATGGGTAAGAATTTAAGAACAAGTAGTTAAATATCACTAAAATAGAATGAGTAAAATATCTCATTGATGTATGTACTCACTTCAGTGGGATATTTAACAAACTATCCACACCTTCTTATACTTTGTGATTTGGGGCTATGTCCTTATGTAAATACATCATAGATTTGTTGATCCACAAAATAAACTAGAGGCCTTCTTCTAGATGTTTTAATATTTCATGAGTATCAGTGTAGCACTTGGGCTGTATATATTATCTTTTGCCTCTCTTTGTATCTCCAAGCAATTAGCATAGTGTCTGGCACATAGTAGGCATTTAAATGCTTACTAACTGACTGTGGAGGATGGCCACAGTAACTGAATTCTACCACCTTTTTTAGGCCCTGGGCATGCTCCCATGGTTGGTAGGGTGAAGGAATTTTCAGTTACACCTAGATCACTTTAGGGATAAAATATATCCCTAATTCCTGCTACATGTCTATTCCATCACCTTTTCTAACTGTATTTTTCTAGATAATAATACATCACTGCTAGTAAAGTGTTTCAGTTTACTTATACTCATTATCCATTAGTATTACTGAGAGAATACAAGTTTTAAAAAGATATCTTTGTATGAAAGGGAAGTGTGGACTTTTGAAAGAGCTGCATGATTTGCCAAATACAATCTAATCTATTCTTTCCTTTTCCCTGACTGGAGAGGAGTTGGTTTCAGATCAAGATCACTTAGGTTCAGAAAAGTTACTGCTGCAGAATGAGATCCTAATATCCAAGTACAGGGGAAATCAGGGTGTAGGAGTCCTTATCAGGAGTGGAGCCGTTTTCTTAAGTGATGGATGGGAGAGGAAGAGAGTTTAGAGGGAGATTGTTGAAGTGCCCATTTCATTCTTGAGTTGACCTTTGTGGGGTCCCTATCAGTGGGTGAGCATGACTCAGTTCTACTGAGAAGAAGTAAACACAGGGCTTCAAGCTGTTCTAAGAGGACTCAAGTCTGTCTGGGCATGATTTGAGGTGGTAAGACAGTTTGGTAAGAATAACTGCTATGTAGTCTCATGTCTACTTCAATGGGTGGGCAAGGCTCCTGATTATTGTGTAAAGGTCAGAGGGTTGGTATCAACAGGTGGGCAGATTTCCTGGGGCTCAGGCAGGATGCAAGAGCCTGTTATAGAGGGTGAGTAGTACTCAGAGAGGCTATACAATGCCCCACCCCTTGTAACCCTCCCATCTCTGGGGAAAGTGATCTAGGTGTAACTGAAAATTCCTTCACCCTACCAACCATGGGAGCATGCCCAGGGCCTAAAAAAGGTGGTAGAATTCAGTTACTGTGGCCATCCTCCACAGTCAGTTAGTAAGCATTTAAATGCCCACTATGTGCCAGACACTATGCTAATTGCTTGGAGATACAAAGAGAGGCAAAAGATAATCCTTGCAATCATGAGTTGTGCTCACAGTCTAATGGGTGAGACAACATGAAAACAAACATTTACAAACAAGCTCTATACAGGATAAATTATATATTATCTATTATATAAGAGAGAAGGCACTACAATTAAGGAGGAGCAAGAAAGGCTTCCTGTAGAAGGTGGGATTTTAGCTGGAACTTGAAGGAAACTAAGAAGTAGAAATGAGATAGGACAGTATTCAAGGCATGGAAAACAAAGCCAGAGAAAATGCCCAGAGTGTGAAGACTATGTCTAATGGCAAGAACAGCCAGGAGGTCAACATCACTGGATCATAGAGTGCCTAATTGGTGTAGTGTATAAGAAGTCTAGTAAGGAAAGGTATGAGGGGGCTAGGTTGTGAAGGGATTTGAAATACCAAACAATTTTATGTTTGCTCCTGGAAGCAATAAGGAACCACTGCAGTTAATTGAGTAGGGTTATGGCATGGTCAGACTTGTGCTTTAGGAAGATTAATTTGACACCTGAATGGAAAATGAACTGAAGTAAGAAAAGATTTGAGGTAAGGAGATCAGCCAGCAAGCTATTGCAATGGTCCAAGTGTGAAGGGATGAAGTCCTTCACCAGGGTGGCAGCAGTGTCACTGAGAAATTCCAAGCCAAAAGACCAAGGGTGGCGAAGATATCCAGGGTTTTCCTTTCTTAGCCACCCAATATACAGGGGAGAGGGTACCAGGTTCCAGGCTAAGGGAAGGGCACAGCCAAATCTAAAATCAGAGGTTGGTGGTGATGTCCTAGGTTTAGATTGGATGAGACTTTAAATGGCTATGGTCAGAGTTATTGGCACTCTATAAGCTGGGGCTGCTACTGTCCTCCAAAGTTTGGGGCCCTTTAAGGGCCGTATTGCAGAAGCATCCCTGTCTGGAAAAACTTTGGCGTTCAGTAGGCTTCCTTTATACTTTAACTCATTTTTTCCCACCTCCAAATGAAAGTTTTCGCTTTCTGGAGCTCCCTTTAGATTCTAAGCCATCACAATTCCTCTTAGTTTTCTGAATTTTCCTAAAGCCCAGACTCACAAAAGGAAAAGGACCACAGAGGTTTTCTTTGCAGCCATCATTCCCTCGATCACTAAATACAGAAGTCACTTAGGTGACTTTAAAAGGGGTTTACTGTAGGTGAACATAAAATTTCCAGTGTTGGTAAAGAAAGTACAGCATCAGGTAAAAAAAAAAAAAGTAAGTCATAGTTTAAATAGTTTAATCCAGACACTGAATATCAACTCATTCCTTAATAACAACTCCTCTCCTTAAAATCCCTCAAACAAACTTTCTTCTTCTTAGTCTTGGCTTTCATGTTAACCTAGTTCACTACCAACACAATGGAAATCATTATTTAGGTCCACCATTTGCAACCTTGTAGAATCTACTTCTCTGGTCCAAAATATGGCATATGGGAATCTGATGCCTAGGCAAAGATTGTCATAATTCAGCTCCCCAGTCCTATCATTCTTAACTTCTGGTCATGACTTGGGAAATTCTGTCTTGACCACCCCCCCAAAAAAAAACTCCCAGAAGATCTTTGCCCTACATAGATCTTAAAGTTACATCCCTCAGGTTTCCAATGCTGAAACTTTCTCTTTCAAACTGATTTCTTTCAAAGTTCACCTTTTGTTAAAGGCACAGCTCTAAAGCTAGTACCCTCTTAGTTCAAGTTTGATGTTGGGATGAAATAAGATACCCAGGAGTGACTGAACATTACAAAGGAGGATGTTTACCCTAACACAGCAAAGATATGCAACAAGGATATATAGCTAGGTTAGAAGCTTAGCTTATCTAGGTGCACTATTCTGCCCTCACCCCCCACCTTATCACCATCTAGAAATGCATCTGGTTAGTCAATCCTCAAGGTATAGCAACTCACATGGTCTTGGGCACCCACCGAGTCTGTGAGGCACTGAGCCCACATGACTTAAGTGTCTTGTTATAGGCCCTAGGCCAGAAGCTTTGTCAGAGAAGCTGGGGCCAATCAGGTTTTGTGAAGGTACCAGGGAAGTGGCTAGGGAAGTTGGGGCCAAAAGAAGTTGTGTGGGGAGAAAGATGTGTCAGGGTAAGGGGAGATGTGCCAGGAAACTGATACCTACTATATACTGTCCCTTGCTGGCAAGGTCCCAATTCTTTTCTAAAGTACCTTCCACCATTTAAATGATTAGACAGTCCTCCTATCGTGGCTAATACTAAGATAGGAAGAAGGAGGAAAAGGGAAAAACAAAAACAAAAAAAAAACAAAAAAATGTGAAGGAATACAAAACCAGAAGCCCCAAGCTTTTCCTTCCTTCTTCAGAAAGATGAAGTTTCCAAATCTCACAATTTGGCCCATGTAATGAGTGATACTCTATCTTTGTAGTTCACGGTGGATCTCTTAATGCAAAGTGGTGACGGTGAACCAGAGCAGCAATGGGAATATCAGAACCATAGCACAGGCCATGACGCCCCAATATAGTTAGATTTCTTCTTCTGTTGTCAGGTGGTAATGATGAGCAGGAGCAGCTCCAGGAATATCAAGGCCTCTGAATGGACACTTCTGAGGGACAAAGAGGTCATAAGCTTCTTGCACATAGTCTCTCTTGTATCTAAGTTTCTCTGTACTACACCACCCACTCAGTGTTCCCTGGCCCACCTGCCAAAACTTCTCCCTCCCTGAAAGCTTCATCATAAGAATGATACAAAATCTTTGCCTCCCTACCGGCCTCTGTGGAGGGCCTTCCCACTTCTTCCACAAGTGGCTAAATAAGGTTCCAATAACTCAGAATTACTTAATAAGTCAAATAAGGGCTGTCTTTTCTTCTAAGTAATTATATAGCAACAATTTCACTTTCCCTATGCTGTTAGAAAGTAAGACATCTCCCAACAACACAATATAGCAAGGTGCCTCCTAACAATACCAGCCCTTGGTTCCCCAAGACTTTTCTGGGAAGGACTTCCCTAAAAAAGCGAAGGAGGTCTGCCAATTGAAGGGGACCTGAGCTGCTACTTTAGGGTGTATGGAACCCTCTGAGAGGGCAAGAATCTTGAGGCTGAGGAGGAGCTGGAGATGATCAGGGAGAATTATGTCCAAAATTAATATATTCTCATCAATTAAGTCTTTGTAGAGGCAGGATCCAAGAAACCCCGGCCATGGAGCCCTTTCCCTTTCTAGGATAGCACTTATTTGTCATAGACATAACTGTTTCTGGGAGGTTGGATACTTGACCTGGGCAGTCAGATGCATAATGATACAACTTCAGAAGGGCCAACCTACTCACTCTGAAATAGGAGAGTTCCATTTTGCCAAGTGGTGACAGTTTGAGGGCCACGTGAGTAAGGAATAGTTTGTCTTGTCCATAGTGAGAAGGATCATATGGTCCTGTGTCTGGGCTACTCCTCTCTTTTTTCCTAATTGAATTAAGTACCTGGTTCAGTCTTTCTTTCCTCTCCAAATCCTGCCCTCATACTAGTGAACTCACCATCCACATTAATATTCCATCCAACA